CAAAACGGTACGGATAAACATATATATAAACATATATATAAACATATATACATATATATGTACATATATACGAGACGATATATATCGTATATATACGATATATATCGTCTCGCTTTATATATAGTTAGATACAGGTACTTGGCGGCATTTAAATTTTAAAGTGGTATACATTCGGTGTATTGTACTTATGGTAAGTACTTGTGAGAATCAGGGAGGGAGAGAGCTTCCTACTCTTAGTTATACCTACAAGGCTCACGATATAATAACTGATCCATGTAATGAATCTCGTTCACTTCCCTTCAAGACTTGCCTAATCGAGCAAAGGTGACGTCAGTTCCCGACGGTAGTCAAGTTCATAATGACTAATGCTATAAATTTCTAGAAGCTTCCCAGGAAGCTTATCACTGTGTCTTGTCTATTTGCTTTTACTTTTGGAGGATGCTTTAACCTCTCTCTCTTTCTCTCTTTCTCTCTCTTCCTAACATGATGTTACCACCCACGGCGAGGATCTACCCTCTCTCTCCCTCCCCCTCGCCACCACTCTTTCCCTCCCCTCTCCCTTTTCTCTTTAACAGAAAACACACAATATCCAACAGTCCTGCCTGGCTAATGGGGCTCGCTAATGATCCTGGTCCCGGGAAACTCTCCAGTGCTATTATCACATTACCCCATACATTAACACACACACACACACACGCGCGGTTGGGTTCTGCGCTGAGACACTTGCAGCAGAAAGTATTAGTATTAACTATGTGAGTACATCTACCCACCACATAATATGTGCTTCTCAGTAAACATAACACACAAGCACGCGGCTACTCGATTATGTATTTTTCCCCTTGATCGTTAGTAACTTGATGCTCCAGGGAGAGGTAGTAGGCTTGCTTACTGATGCTCAAAGCCCATCTTGCTATGTTTCCTTCCAAGGTTCCATCGTTTAAATTTTAGATCATGGTTACAATTACGACTTTTCTGTATTGTTTTGTTGGCGTGAAGAAACATGCAAATCGAAATTCAAGGCACAGACCAATCCAGCAAGAGGACAGATAAAAGCGTCGTACAATACCTCAGCAAGCAGGTTCGGACTGCCAACATAATCTCATCTTAGTTTTAAAATTTCGATTCAAACTAAAAGATCTAGTCATTAGTCCCGCTGAAAAGTGCAGAACCACATAACAGAACATAAAGACTAATGTGAGACGAAGATAGAGGGTTACCTCACTCTCCGACCCGAAGTGTCTGTGCTTAGCATCCTGACCCTTTGACCCTTCTGGCAGTTGTGTTTAAAATATACTGGATTTGCATTATAATAGCGGTTGCGTACTCGTGTGTACACCCACTCCACGAATTAACTGCTTTCTTGCGGAGAAAGGTTCAGTTTTCTTTATTTGTGATTCTCTGGTTGTATGGCCGCTTTACGGTTTAGCACTTGTTTTCTGTTGTAGTCGTACTTCAATAAGATATTTAAACTTGCTCGGAGGTAAGTTTGTATTTAAATTATTGCACTGATATAATGTTTGAAGAAGGGCTGATTTGGCTTATGGTTATTTATTTCTTTTAACCGTTCTCGATTAGTTTCTCAGTTTCTGTTGCCTTTGTTTGTCGTTTGCTAAATCTACATTTTAATATAAACCTAAAGTGCTAACATAGTAACAATACTTGTTTCTGATATCCCAATATTCAGCTCGAAATTAAATTACAGATTATCAAGCACGGGAAGCGTTTAAGTCATTATCATTAATTAAGTCATTATAATTACGTTATAAACTGAATAGATGAGACGATTTTACTTCTAAACAAAAAACTTCAACAATTCTCACGAAATTATTTCTGAATTGTCTTGTTGCTTACCATCGGCAGTCTTTACTAATGTAACTCGTGAATCTGTCGATATGAGTAACAAGAATTTCGCAAGGTAAAATTTCACACCGTCAGCCGGCTGAGCGTATTTCCCTATTCTATTGAAGTTTCCTGATTTCATAGTGAGCGTGCATTGTTGTACTCATCTGCTTACAAATTTTGATGTATACATTCGCTTCACTTGTTACCAGCTTCCCTATTTTTCTTTGTGTAGCGGAGACACAATGATTTGTTGATAACACATCTTGGTTGAGCCGTTATTATAAATACTATGCATATAAGTATAACGCAACTTTATATGTTACAATTGTAACGCTTTGTTCGTTGCGAGTCTTCATTTTGTAATTTATTTGTACAGACTACTCAAAAGTAAACTTTTGCCATACAAAGGCAATTATATGCCACGCCACAAACCACCATAATGAAATCCTCCGAAAGTTCATTAAACCAATGACCACAGACTCTGTGACAGAGCCTCATGTACAAGAACAATTCTCAGGATGGTTATACAATATACATGTAACGAATAAAATCAAATTTTGATAGATTTATGATCTGCTTAGCCGAATCACTGTCTCTTGCATTTATTCATTTTATAAGGGCTCATAATTTTGGTATCAGGTATGATTTAAATCACTTATACGCCATACAAGCAATAAAATAAGCTTTAAAACTCGTATGTTATATTGCAGGTTTAATTGGTAGGCTTTTACAAGTGAGAGCATATCATCATTACGCCATTACAATGAAGTGGTTATAAGCTGTAATATTGTTCATGGCTATTCAGTTATGTAATATCAATGTTATGTTATGATTACTACGAAAATTAATTTAAATTCCAGGCGAGATGCCGGGAGTAAAATTTACAACTGGTTCCACTCAACAAAAAAACGACAAGAACATTCAAGAAGCCAGAACTAGAAGATGATTCAGGTCATGATAGTTATAAAAGCAGGAACTATCCCACCCAAAACAGTATTAATCACGTGACAGTCTGGTTCCCTGTGGCGGGCTGTTAGAATTGTCGAGACTTAAATTGGTGAACTTTAAGATTGTCATTTGTAAATGTTTAAATTCTTCTGAATTTCATATAAGTTGGCAAAAGTTCCGCTATGTTCGAAATGTTGTTATCATAGACATAACAGGAACCCTATCCACACTGTAGAGGATAGTCCATCGATGATTAAAATGGCGCAAATTTGTGATTTGTGAACTTTTTAATATCGATCATACTATCCCTTTCCATCACTTCACTTTATTTGCGAAAATCTATGGCAAAAAAATTAAGAAAACATCACATTAGTGAATTTGTATGTTAATTCCTAATTTGGGGGAAGGAAATTGCGGGGTTTGCGGTATTTCGGGGTTTTACTATATTAAAATATCTATTAGGCCAAACTATTATGCAAGCGTCTATTAGGCCATTTAATCGGTGCATGGCCGTCAGCAATCAGCATTTTGCGTAGGCCACGCATTAAATAGGTACCAATATGATGGTAATTGATCCAAGAATAGATTAAAAGAAGTCAAACGCATCGCTATTGCCTTTGGATATGTGTATTATTGTAATAAAACAGAGGTGGATGCTTGGTAGACGCACTGTTTCCCATTTTCGACTTGTCAAATGTCAGACCAAAAGTTTAATTGTGCATTTAAACTTCATTCGTTCATGGAAAAGAGGTTTGAACATTTGTAAACGATTGATGATTTCTCAAGCCAGCTGTAAATTTTGTCCTAAAAATGCAGTCTTTACGACTAATATGATGAATGAGCTGGAAGTTTAAGCTGGTAAACACGTCTTATGCAATATGGTTCAACTTTATAATCAGTTATTACCGCTACGTATTGACCAGACTTACGTAAATGCAACCACTGAAAAGACAGGAAAATACTCAATTTAGTTGCCACTATATATATTATGTGAATATTATGTGAATATTATATATATTATGTGAATTCAACTTCTTATATTGTTGATTGTATTGAAAAGGGGGAAAAAGTATCGGCTCAATTCTTGAATGTACAACAATCCAATCTTTCCTTTTTGGTTCACTGAGTTTGTACCGTCTTTAATAATGTTGACATTAGAAGATGGCGTCATGTTAGCCTAGGTTTGGCTTCCTGGTGACACATTTCACCTGCACAATTATATCATATAATGTGGCCGTTCCTAGCCGGACTAGTTAGACGCCAACTTTAAACTGTGATCACTGGAAATGTACAGATACTGCCCGGTGTGACACAGATATCCCATACGAGGTTATAGCACGCCATTTCCAACTGCAAATGCGCATAAAGCGTAATTATGATGAATGATACCATACCCGATCCCGAAGATGATCCGAGATAAAATTCCAATTTCCTAATTATGAACAGCGTTACGTATCTGCCGAGGCCTTAGTTCATTTAGGCAATTCACATTTTCTAATCGCTGCGACATCTTGGCTAAAGACAAAACTTCCCCTTTGTCCACCGACGCTTTATGGCCAGTGATTACTGTTGCCATGACAACATCAAGGCTAATGGGTGTAATGCTTTACTGACGTTACTTTTCTAAAAATCCTGGCGGCTTTTCCTATCAGTTCTACCTGTACCGCTCTACTACCGTACTTGCAGTTCCTTGTGCATTTGCTGTACCGCATAGTTATCGTAATATACGATTCCCATAATTGCTATCCGGCTAACCTAACACAATTGTACATTGCGCTAAGTGTTCTCCACCGCAACAGTGACTAGTTTATTTGTGTGCAGTTTAATTTGTAGTGTCAACACTCAACAATACCAGGCAGTATCCAAGAACCTCAACCAATAGGGGTAGACATTAGGGTAGACATTAGGGTAGACATCAGGGTAGACATTAGGGTAGACATTAGGGTAGACATCAGGGTAGACATTAGGGTAGACATCAGGGTAGACATCAGGGTAGACATTAGGGTAGACAACTTCAACAATATTGAGTGAGAGTAAAGGTTAAGGTCAGGGTTATGTATAAAGTCTGCATAAAGTCAGCATAAAGTCTGCATAAAGTCTGCATAAAGTCTGCATAAAGTCTGCATAAAGTCTGCCGGGTTTCTTGGATACTGTCCAGTATTCAATATGACCGTTAGTATCCCCTCTGATGAAGCTATGACTGGCGGGGCTAGTGGTGAAACTTTATCTTCAAAATCTCGCTCACGTAGACCAAAGCGAAAGAAAGAAGCTTCTTGCTCTAAACTGAGGTAAGTTACTGATCAGTAGTGTTATAATGACTCCGTTTTATAAATTATACGAATAACTTCATTTCAAAAATATAAAACATGGTGGCAAATATCGATTCACTGCTTTGACTCGAATAGGAATTTTCGATCTTATTTTATATCCGTGCATTAGTTAGACCTTAGAAGTTAGACGGATTATCTCAGTAAAATTGTACAATTTTAGAAGTATTTTGGGAGTTTCTTCAGAATAATCTTAGCCGTCTCGTCTCCGACTTTTTGAAATTTTAACCAGGAATAACAATTTTTTTTAAAACTTAATGACTCAGATTTCATGAAAGCAAATCTTGAGTAGATAAATTCTCTATAGTTTGTAGTCTCCAACATTTCTTTAGAATTTTTCAAAGCTAGTCATTTTATTTTTGGGATGGTACTAGTACTACCATTCCCATTTCAGTTCTCTGAATATATTCTTCATTTTATTCCTGTTAATTCATTTTATTCCTGTAAATTCATTTTTATTTGTATCACTCATCGTTTATATTCGAATTTATCTATAAAAATGATATCGCCGCGAATACACAACGCGACACGGTTAATTTTCCCAACCAAAACCATAAACCAATACCATTGACTTCATTTCTACATCCAATATGATTAATTCTACATACAAAAATAATGATTTATAATTAACCCGTAACCGGTAATCGGTAAACTAAAACACATGCTTAACTATGTAGCATGCCGCTTTGTATAACCATTATTACATGCCAGGAATGTATGATATATACATTATTGAATAATAACGGGCGATATTAAAATTCAAAACAATTCCTCGTCCTAATCTGTTGTCTAGTCAGCGAATACTAAATAATAACTGTGACCTAGCTTAACCAATTCCATTATAAGACTTAATGATAGTACATGATAGGCTTGTATCACGCATATCTTACTGGTTCTCTGATTGCAGCTCCATCCATCTGTTCTTATTACTTTTGGTTGTTATGATGCATATACTATCAATCATGTCGTATCATAAGTCATTTCATTTTGTTGCGTCCAAAACCTTAATGGTACACTGTCTTAGTATTTTGATATTCACCATTCCATATCGAATTTAAAACTTCTGATCCATCATCGGTAGTTATAATTTGTGTAGTGCACCACCATCGAACCCTCAAACTCACAGCTCACAATTGTTTGGCAGCATAGTGAAATTTCCTTTAGCTTCATGACATAAGTTTGAATTAAAATCTGCTACCGAAGCTGAACTAATTACTTAATTATATAATATTATTATTTGATATTATTTAAACACCTCTTGGTACGATAAAACTCGTTTTTTGAAGCAGACAAACTTAAACACTGAATTATTCGACCGATTGTCACACTAAAATTACGCGTTTGCGACGGTTAACACGTAAGTGACTAGTACATAACCCGGTAACTAATTCATTACTCGGCCGTTTTGTAAACTATGGTACTATGGTAGTTGTCAATTAATACGTTATTAGTATATCCGAGTTTTTAAAAGAACTATTTTCGCTTTGTTAAAAAGTGGAAACCCTGATATTTTCACCTATCCCATGCTTGCTATTACTGTTACCTTAGCGCCTTATAAACGACTTCGCCCATCAGCTCCGTTATGAATCAGTCGAATGTGAAGTTTATTAGTGACCATCACGTGGTCCTCGTATTCAAAGGAGCATTCTTCTACTTAGCCCCGGTCACCATACCTTTGAGTCTGATAGTGATACTCCAAAACATCGGCATCTTTGTCAACTACTACAAGGACAGAAACAAGCTGATCCCCAGTTTGTTCATGGGTATTGCCCTGTCTGACATTCTCAGAGCACAAGGAGAGTTGGTACTCTCAGTGATAAGTATTCTAGCGTTCACAGGACTGGTTGAGGTGACAGTTCTTTATAAGAGCTTAGTTTACTACATGCTAACTGCCCTCCCTGGTGTGAATTGGTCCAAAGTGTTCAATTTAGTGATGACCATCTCTATCACTGTAAAAGTTGTCAACCCTTTCACCAGGCTGAATTCTGAGCGTTTAACGAAAGTGATGAATTGCTTTTGCATTGCCATAGCCCTGCTTCACGCTTCAGATGCTATCATGTTCATTTTCAAAATACCTAGTCTAAACTTTTCTGATGGGAAAACTAAAAGTGCTTACCTGTATCTCTACGTGCTGTATATTTTCATGATACCGGGAAGCGTTACAATGGCCACCTTATATTGTATGCCAGATGAATCAAGAGGTTCAAGATGTGACGGAGACCACATGAGTATGGGGAATCAAGCTGCTTTAATAGACGGTATCGGGCTCTCCTTCGAAGTTGTTTACTTTTTGGTGCCCCCGATAGTCATGCTCTCTATGATAATACAGGTGGTATACTTAAAGCGATCACTACATGGAGATGATGATGAAGTCTCCTCACTGAGATCGGACTCCGCCCGCCATGTCTCTATCACTGTCCTATGTGTATCAATCCTCTTCTTCATCTGCAGTACTGCGTACGTTGGTGCCATTGCAGCCTTCTATTTTATTTACCTTTCATACCATCATGGAATCAAACAACTCACGGATAATGAGGTAGTTGATTTGGGAGTGGGACTAGGATTCACTGAGTTCACAATGCCTCTAATTTATGCAGCCTTGTATCCTGTTATATTGATATGTAGGAAAGAGGAGTTGAGGAGGAGGTATGTTGAACACTGGAGAAGAATCTATGTCTGGTGTAGACCTGCAGAGGATAATGGTGAGGTGACTGCTGGGTTGACCTGAGGATAATGGTGAGGTGACTGCTGGGTTGACCTGAAGATAATGGTGAGGTGACTGCTGGGTTGACCTGAGGATAATGGTGAGGTGACTGCTGGGTTGACCTGAGGATAATGGTGAGGTGACTGCTGGGTTGACCTGAAGATAATGGTGAGGTGACTGCTGGGTTGACCTGAAGATAATGGTGAGGTGACTGCTGGGTTGACCTGAGGATAATGGTGAGGTGACTGCTGGGTTGACCTGAGGATAATGGTGAGGTGACTGCTGGGTTGACCTGAGGATAATGGTGAGGTGACTGCTGGGTTGACCTGAGGATAATGGTGAGGTGACTGCTGGGTTGATCTGAGGATAATTGTGAGAGGACTGCTGGGTTGACCTGAGGATAATGGTGAGGTGACACTACAGCCTGCTTCCGGTCTGACAGAAAGGATTCAATCCATTTGATAATTTTTGGATTTTTTCATGAACAATAAATTACACAAAATATGATTTGTAACTGTTCTAAGTGAACTATTGCTAATCAGGATACAAAGATTGGTTCATTTGTATTATCGTAATTATCATACCTATAGTTAACATTGATTACCGCATGATCACTAATATAACCAGGCAGATCAGGAACCGTTAAACTACTTAAATACAAGCGTGATGTCACGGACTTTGAATTTTGCTGTCGTATATATTCAACTTTTGGTTTTTACTATCTAAATATTTGAATTTGGCGTTGTTTTTATTTTTGACTTCTTTAATTTTGTTACGTTTTTTCTTCAAAATTTTTCAATTTTGTGTTGGTTTCCTTTTTAATTTTTGACAGAATTTCAAGATACCTAATAGGCTATTAGATCCCTCCTCCCTCCTCCCTCCTCCCTCCTCCCTCCTCCCTCCTCCCTCCTCCCTCCTCCCTCCTCCCTCCTCCCTCCTCCCTCCTCCCTCCTCCCTCCTCCCTCCTCCCTCCTCCCTCCTCCCTCCTCCCTCCTCCCTCCTCCCTCCTCCCTCCTCCCTCCTCCCTCCTCCCTCCTCCCTCCTCCCTCCTCCCTCCTCCCTCCTCCCTCCTCCCTCCTCCCTCCTCCCTCCTCCCTCCTCCCTCCTCCCTCCTCCCTCCTCCCTCCTCCCTCCTCCCTCCTCCCTCCTCCCTCCTCCCTCCTCCCTCCTCCCTCCTCCCTCCTCCCTCCTCATACCAACAGCGCTTCATTTCTTTCTGACTATTTTTTTTAAATTTGTCAAACTGAGAGGATGAGGTCGGGAGCTTTCCAATGCACGTAATACATCTAGAATCTACACGAATATAAAAGACTAAAGACAGTTTTATTTAGGCTGCCATGTTCTACATTGCTACGTTATGTGAAGTTAAATGAAGTGCATGATTGAATCTAATGTGGTTATGGCGCATTAACTTCAATGTCATTATGTTTATACCGCATGTTTGAGAAGCAACCTTTTTTGGCACAGCGCTTTCTTCTGTTTGTTACCAAATCTGTTTAAATACCAAACCTCATCGTCAACCGTGGTTGAAGGAATTTCCAAACAGTACGTGAGAAAACGGGAAGCCAGTCCTGCCTTGTCAGTCACTTCCGTTTTAAGCGTCTCTTTTCTTCAATAGCTTAATGATTTGCAGATATCTAATCGATATAGATGTATAATCTATCTATATGCAGATACAGAACTTTGAGTTCCTTATTAAGATTGATGAAAGTGTTGGATTAAGTATTTAAACTATCCATATTTTTTATTGTTTAGCTAAGTGGTATTCATGAATACCAACCTTTTCAAAATTTGCATGAATACGGTTGGTTACACACTAAATTCGGGCAGACAATCATTCCATCAAAGTGGACTGTTTCGATCGACTATTTTTTCGTCAACTAAATTCGACTGCCCAAACTATATATCCTGGCCTACTACTGAACCTTATAATTTTATGATGCCCTACCCAGGTTTCGAAACTTTTCGATCGGCGTAAACCGAATGCCCAGAAATCGCACATTTTCAGTTAAACTTAAACATTATAAAGCATCTTACATGCACTCGGTAACAACATAGCAGGATCCTGGGATCCACCCCGAGCGTAGTGTAGACAATGTCTACTAGACATGCTGTGTCTACTAGACATGCTGTACTATGACTGATCATTAGCTTAACTAGCATTCACCGACTGTACCCATACATTTGTTGCATCCTGCTGTAAAGCGTGGCCTCGAAAATGTTGTACTACTAAGGAAACCGTTACCGTTTATTTTAGAATGGTTTTTGGAGCTCAATGACGACTTTTCCTCTCCCCTAAACAAAAGCTGGCACAGTTCATAACTTATTACATAACAGTTCATAACTTATTACAGATGCTGGTAGAAAGGATGGATAAGCACAATGGAATTGGATATTATAAACTGGTTTAAGATAATAATTTGAATATTTCGTAAATATCGAACTAGGTTCTGTCGACATTAATCAGATCATGTTAAATTTATTTTTAACGAAAGAAATTATTTTGCCAATGTTTATTTATTATATTTATCCCTACCAGACTGAATTCTTTGTCATATTAAAGTTCTTCGAAGTTTATGGTAAAAAATGTATCATGCGTGGTCTAACATCACAGCTTTAATTCAAATCTCGAGTGTTTCTCATAGTTGCCTAGTTGCTATTCATATGAGTAAATCACAAATGGAATTAAGCCAATATATATTATATCGTTTTAATAGATTGTTCTCATGTTCTAATTAAGTGCTTAGAATTGGCCAATTATATGAAGTGTTATGTCGTTATGCCGGAACAATTACTAAGTTAACTTTACAAACTTCCAAAGGACAACTTTCAGCTCTAGAGTGTCTGTAAAGATTGTCGAATTTCATTGTGTTTATGTAAAATTGATCTGTGTTTTCAGATTGTCAGCCGAATTTCAGTAGTCTAAATTATTGTTTTAAACCATTTCCGTGGCGTCTTATTGCAAAGTTCACAAGATGCGATGTTTTGAGAGCAAAATATAACATCTGATAATAATCATTGAATGGGCTGTATTGTAGATTTAAAATGAAATGACAATGATCACATCGCTAAATGTACTACGCGAAATATCAACGACATGTCACCCCACACAGGGCCTCATGTCTGACGATGGACTTTCTGAACGCACTGAGCATAGAGCTGTGTGACACGGTACTGTGCTGCAACAACTGGTACGCAGACGGCAAACCACCGCACTCTCCCACCCCGGTACGTTATTTAGACTTTAGAGTATTGTTCAGGGACAGGGACAGGGACAGGGACAGGGACAGGGACAGGGACAGGGACAGGGACAGGGACAGGGACAGGGACAGGGACAGGGACAGGGACAGGGACAGGGACAGGGACAGGGACAGGGACAGGGACAGGGACAGGGACAGGGACAGGGACAGGGACAGGGACAGGGACAGGGACAGGGACAGGGACAGGGACAGGGACAGGGACAGGGACAGGGACAGGGACAGGGACAGGGACAGGGACAGGGACAGGGACAGGGACAGGGACAGGGACAGGGACAGGGACAGGGACAGGGACAGGGACAGGGACAGGGACAGGGACAGGGACAGGGACAGGGACAGGGACAGGGACAGGGACAGGGACAGGGACAGGGACAGGGACAGGGACAGGGACAGGGACAGGGACAGGGACAGGGACAGGGACAGGGACAGGGACAGGGACAGGGACAGGGACAGGGACAGGGACAGGGACAGGGACAGGGACAGGGACAGGGACAGGGACAGATTAGTATCCTGTTAATCCGTTTATAAGGCAGTAGGCGTAAGAACCATTTAAAGTGAATTTGTGAATATTTAAAGCCTCGCATGACACTATCTAAACCATTTAAACTTGGGCTCATTTTAAATTAAACAGCGTCTACATAAACTGTATATCAATCTGGGACAAAACGTATTTAATTATAAACCATACTGCTATTTGTTTAACTCTAAAATTTAGCCATTTCCTTCATCCTTGAGCAGTTTATGATAAAGTTTGAATAACGACTGCTTTACAGACAGCGGGCATTTTCTTGTATTCACTATTCAAGTTGAGAAAGTTTGAGTAATAACCGAGCTGTCGAGACAAGGATGTTCCCACCATTAACTCGGTCATTACTTCATTAAACTATACACTGATTCCAAATGTCATGAGTGTAGCAACATTTTGACAAAATTACCAGTTTGAGTCTTTTGGAAAAGCGATATGATTGGTAAAGGCGATTTGAGTCGGCTTAACTATCAAGTGATTGAGCTTTCAAGTGAAAACTTTTAAAATGTAATACATTTTGATTTTAATTGCCACGAGCAAGCTTTAACTCATTTTTCCGACTTGATCATTTCAGTATAATTATGTCTCGTGATGATTATGATTATGTTTCATAAATGCTCGTGTACAGTACATGTATCCGTGACAAAATATTTAAATCTTTTGATAGTATCCGTAATCTTTCGGCAGTATTTATTGAAAATACGTAATGGTTCTAAAATCGCCGATGTCTGGAAAATGGCAACATTCAAATCCTTACCGTATCATCTAACTAATAATCCCAGAATGTGTGTCTGTCTGTCTGTTTGTAATTTCCGAGCGGCTTAATCAAGAAAACGGTAAGAGTTGCGGGACTGATTTTTTCGGTAAAGTGCCGACAAAACTCTGACGAAGTTAAATGATAAAGGTTTTTTAAATCGGTCGTTGGTAGGTGGTTTAATTGATGGTTTTGTACCACAAATGTTACATAAAATGGCTTGAGCAGAACGGTAAGAGTTACGGGGCTCGCATATATATATATGTAGCTGCATAATTAGTGTAATTGAGTTACCCGGGTAAGATTCGCTGTCTATACTATAATCTTATTAGGGGAGGGGGAACTGTTTGGACTGCAGAGAGAGAGAGTTCATACTTTCATACGACAATGTTATGCGTGTTCACAAATATGATAGGCGGGTGTGGTGTTAAGGGTTAATTTCTATTGATTATTGTTTAAGATACTATTACTATTGTTTAAGATACCATTGGATACGTGAGGGCACTCCGAATAGAATTGCTCACCTAATGCGGGTTCTGACTCAACGGGTAAATGCTCCTACCCTTTTTAACTGCGGCAGTGAAATCCCGGCCGAAGGCCGGGTTACACTAGTCAATCATCATATTCTGAGATTCATAATGAAGAAACCTGGTAAATTTGACTTTTAAAAAATAATAGGTAGCGATAACAAAGAATGCAAACAACAAGGCTTGTCTTTTTTGACAAATTTTTGCCACACCTTTAGCTGAACATTTTCTTATTTTTGTTTAAATATTTTCGTCAAGCTTCAAATCATATCATAATCGGAATTACCACAAGTTGCTGTGATTTTTTAGTTAAATTATAATAATCGGCTTAATTGCTGTACTTTTTTAATAATTTTATAATAATCGGCTTAATTGCTGTGTTTTCCTAATAAAATTACAATAATCGGCTTAATTATCATTAACTATTTTGAAATCAGGAAGAAGAAGGGACATCCATCAGCCAGGAGAGCCAACCAGCCAAAAATGAATTCCTTGTAAGAAAAATATTCAAATTATCGCTACTCCTGCCAGCTCTATTAATTTTGTGATCTGAGAACCCTTTCCTAAGTTACAATGCCAGATAGCAATCATTCTATTTACATTTCATCCCATTTTTTTATTAAAATTTAAGAAATCGACTTATTTCAAGAACTTTTTTTGTATTTTGCCCTACTTAAACAAGTTAAGCCATGTAGCAATAATTTACATGCATTTAAACTTGATATGCTGCTGCAATAAAACCCTGAGCTATCCTTTTTGCGATGCAAGCATAGTAAGGAGAATTAAAGAGGTCCAGTAACAGCTTTGAAGAGAATTGTTTAAGTGCTTAAATCTCCTCCCTTTACCAGTTCTACTAACATTATGCTATCCTTGTTTATTTATTGATTCATACACATTACACGTATCCAATTTTTAAAATGCACTCCCGACAACAATTTCAATTGATATCCCTTCATGGAGTCTGTTTGCTGGATGTTAAAACAGAAGTAAAACAGAAGAAGGAGTTAAAAGAAATAACATTATTTCTTTTAACTCCTACATAAATAACTTTATTTCAGGTAGGCGCACTGCCGGGTGAAATAGGGTATAAATCAAGCAGTCACACTCTCTCCAAACATAGCTCAGTAGACCACGGTGAAGATGCCTCTGAGAAACACCAGAGCGGCTGGGAGACGTGTGATATCAGGTACAAACTGGCAAACAGACAAACTGGCAAACTAAAGAACTGACAAACAGACAAACTGGCTAACAGACAAACTGGCTAACAGACAAACTGGCAAACAGACAAACTGGCTAACAGACAAACTGGCAAACAGACAAACTGGCAAACAGACAAACTGGCAAACAGACAAACATATAGAGATTAGAAACGTACAAACTGGTTAACAGACAAACTAAAGAACTGACAAACATACAAACTGGCAAACAGACAAACTGGCAAACAGACAAACTGGCAAACAGACAAACTGGCAAACTGAAAAACTTAAGAACTGACAAACATACAGAGATTAGAAACGTACAAACTGACAAACAGACAAACTAAAGAACTGACAAACATACAGAGATTAGAAACGTACAAACTGGAAAACAGACAAACTAAAGAACTGACAAACATACAGAGATTAGAAACGTACAAACTGGAAAACAGACAAACTAAAGAACTGACAAACATACAGAGATTAGAAACGTACAAACTGGCAAACAGACAAACTAAAGAACTGACAAACATACAGAGATTAGAAACGTACAAACTGGCTAACAGACAAACTTAAGAACTGACAAACATACAGAGATTAGAAACGTACAAACTGGCAAACAGACAAACTAAAGAACTGACAAACATACAGAGATTAGAAACGTACAAACTGGCTAACAGACAAACTAAAGAACTGACAAACATACAGAGATTAGAAACGTACAAACTGACAAACAGACAAACTAAAGAACTGACAAACATACAGAGATTAGAAACGTACAAACTGACAAACAGACAAACTAAAGAACTGACAAACATACAGAGATTAGAAACGTACAAACTGGCTAACAGACAAACTTAAGAACTGACAAACATACAGAGATTAGAAACGTACAAACTGACAAACAGACAAACTTATAAAGATTAGACGGCATTTATTGAACACTGTACAGTGTACAATTAACACAGTTAACACACTTTCTAACCACCTAAAGTACCCATAAAATTTAACAGATTTCTCTACAATCCATGAATTGCAATATGTAATTCAACGTCAACCGTGCGGAGCGTCAACTAGGTGTTAAATGACCGCAAGCTATTACCTTGCGTAACCTGTACTTTAAACGTACATCAACTGTGCCACCTGTTTGCCAAAGACAGTTTACATTTCCCAAATCTTATACTGTATCAGTTGCTTACATAGCACGAGCTAGTGGCCCCCGAGAGGATAGCGTCTAGCATTTTACCTACCCTAGATTTGGCACATAGAATTGTTATAAGTGCTATAAAATACAGGGTTATAAAATATAAAATGAGGAAGACAATTTCCAATGAGATTATAAACCGCCATAAACTTGATTCCTGAGCGCCGAAACAAGTGTCTTTTATCATATCTTACTAATAAATGAATTAATGATACTCCTTTGTTAAAATAGTGACTGTTTCCCTCAGAAAACGTCCGGAGTACACTCGCACGTTGAAGGAGATGGCGGAGGAGTTTGAGGCGCAACGAGATGCGGAAGAGGCGCTGAGACTACAACTGCTGAGGGTTAATAAGAAGGAGGAGGGAGAGGAGGATAAGCTCCTTACTAAGGATCAGAGTTTTGTGACCACAGGTGAGAGAGAGGCTTCCAGGCTTCCTGCTTTTTTTGTTTTTTTTTCATTCTTGCTGATGCGGATTTTTGATGCGAATATAAATCAGGTTAGATGCAGATTTTTTAGTCTCTTTCATACTTTTTCGACTGATCACCCCTTTAGCTTTTTCTCCCTGCAAAATCCGACCAGTCTCGCTTACACTTGTGTGAGCTTGGAAAAGTATCATGAGCGGTCGTTGCCAGGTTTTTTTTTCTAGGAATGCAACCTGCAAAATCATTGTTTACTGTATTAAAAATCTTTATGTGCTGGTATCGCTTCTGACTACTGATTTCGTGACCTCTTACCTGAGTTCATAACAGAACTTCAGGTATGGGTCCCGTCTACAATCTAATCAAAATTTCTGCATTTTAAATTACGAATTTCCAAATTATGAAAAAACATTTTTACCAATTTATCTTCAGATGGGGATGATGATAGCATGGATTTGCGAGCCAGCAGTTTCTGCTCAGTGAGCTCTAACAACATGTTACCAGTAAGTAATGACCCGCTAATTACCCGCTAATTAACCGCTAATTACCCGCTAATTACCCGCTAATTTCCCGCTAATCTGTTAATTTATTGATAATTTCTTAATTAATGGATATGCTTGTAAAAACGTTATCTATTTTTCTCATAAACTAAAACGGTGTTGAGCTTCTAAGATGACTGCTTTTAGATTACTTTCAACCCATGAGAACACACACGAACATCATATGGACTAAAAATTGCATAACTCTTCCATCAAAAAGTAACACCATCCAGTCAGCTTTAATTAAGAGGCCGATCAGCATGGTTCCATTACCGACAAGATAGTGGCTGCTCCTCAATATATATCCTTGACGTCACAATCCACTTTCAGACTGCCTGCCACGAAGTTTTTATTGTATTTTCGGTTAAAAGAACGTCTCAGCGTTCTGCATCACCATCATCAGAACTGGCCACCCCTCTCTCGCGATGAAGAGCTACCAAGCTGCTTTATTGTGTTGCCATTTACCGATTTATGCGTGCTGGTAATCAGCGATCTTTTAACAACAACTTGTAGTCTGTACAATCGTTACAGGCACAACCATATTACTGCCATGCCGTCACTACAACGCAGATTAGAACTGAAGGAGTCGAGACAGGGTTCGATACTCGAGCAACCGCTTAGTAATAAAGGTGGATAATTACTGGAACTATGAGACTATGAGAAATTAATCAAGACGTAGAGAGAGTAGTAGTACGAGTTACGATTGTCCGCGGTTGAAAATGGTGGTTTTACTGAAGTTTTATAGGTCATCAACCAAAAAATGAACGCCATCTTCTTAATAAGGTCTGGCGGCTAGTTAATAGGGTTGCCACTTCCTTCAAGTTCAAGTTTCAACGTATGACGATCGCCGATCATTGGTTGATATAAATTTTTGAGTCCACTATTAATTGAAATAAACAACATTTTACAAATCATTTATCCGATTGACGTCAGACGTGCATGTGTCTCGACACCAGTTTAAGTGATGCAATTGTACCATTTTCTTAAAGTAATTTTGTCTGTAATAGGTTGAGATTGTTCGAGAAGGATTCGGTGAAGTGGAACTAAGTTTCTCAGCCTGCGATATAGCATATCATTAACATTTAGTCATTGACGTCAGAGGTCGGTTAAGTGTTTGAGAGTTCCCAACGTTCAGCAAATTAGAACCGGACAACTAAATGTTCGTACTGAGAATCGCATGGGTCGACGTGGTTGAAAGTTCGTGGACAACATACAGATACGTAGGTTTTATGAAATGCTGAATAGCTAACCAGAACAACCAGTGAAGGCATGGTGGATGGTGGATGGTGGATGGTGGATGGTGGATGGTGGATGGTGGATGGTGGATGGTGGATGGTGGATGGTGGATGGTGGATGGTGGATGGTGGATGGTGGATGGTGGATGGTGGATGGTGGATGGTGGATGGTGGATGGTGGATGGTGGATGGTGGATGGTGGATGGTGGATGGTGGATGGTGGATGGTGGATGGTGGATGGTGGATGGTGGATGGTGGATGGTGGATGGTGGATGGTGGATGGTGGATGGTGGATGGTGGATGGTGGATGGTGGATGGTGGATGGTGGATGGTGGATGGTGGATGGTGGATGGTGGATGGTGGATGGTGGATGGTGGATGGTGGATGGTGGATGGTGGATGGTGGATGGTGGATGGTGGATGGTGGATGGTGGATGGTGGATGGTGGATGGTGGATGGTGGATGGTGGATGGTGGATGGTGGATGGTGGATGGTGGATGGTGGATGGTGGATGGTGGATGGTGGATGGTGGATGGTGGATGGTGGATGGTGGATGGTGGATGGTTGATGGTGGATGGTGGATGGTGGATGGTGGATGGTGGATGGTGGAATGAGAGACAAGCCTGTCACATTATATTGTGTGAACATAATGATTGGACGATGTGATGATAGTCAATGGTCATTGGTCATCCAAGGTGCAGGTTTCCAATTCAATATGGTCGAATAACTGTATTTTCATATGATGTAGATCAGCTGCATACTATGCCACTATGCCACTATGCCACTATGCCACTATGCCACTATGCCACTATGCCACATTACCATTACGCTACTATACCACATTACCACTACCAACAACGATGGATTGGAAAAAATTAGGGTTAACCACGTGATGCTTTGTGATCCACACCGAAAATGTGTTTCATGAATAAAGGGTGGCAGTGACTATAATAGTCTGCTAATCTCTAGTTTTCAATTTATTTGGCTCCCTCAACCTCATAAACCCCAATTAACCCCGTGGAACAAAGAGAGTGTGATATCCGAGTATGTTCCTATATTGATCTAAAAGATCAGTTGAGTCATAGTCATACATTATAACAGACAAGATATGTCTTGCTCGAGGTAGGATCTTAACCCAGGTATTCTGTAAATTTGCATATTATTATACTAGCGTGTCTTAGTCCGCTCACACTAAAGAATCAACTAAAGAATTTGATAGTGCAACTGCACTATCGTTAACCCATTTGCTTACTACGCTATCATCTACCTATGTCACCTATGTTGAGTTTCGTAAAGCTTCAACAGGGTCATCACATGAACCGTGTGAGCTGTGATTTGAAATACACCTGGTCACCGATAGAATGCAAATCATAGGGCATAGCATTTCACAATTTCGAGCCTTTGATGACTGCAAATAAATAACCATATAGGGACTGGTGAGCTGCTGAGGTGTATATGCATAGTTGTGGACACAACAAGAAAATTGAGAATAATCTTGTGCGAGGGTAGGGACCCAGATGTCGTTTCTAACCCAAATAAACTTTAAGGAGGCTTCTCATCAGTAGCCGCACCTCCTTACTCGGTTTCTGAACTGGAATTCTATGGGCTTCCAGACGGCCAGACCGAGTATTACCACCCCATCCTTCTAGAGTTCATCACAAGTAGCACCCACCTTGAAGATCTTTGACACCCAGACACACCCCATTGGCGAACAAACTTTGGATATAATCTTACATGCTCCCGAAGGAATCCCTGGTTTATGGTCTTTCTCATCGTCACCAGCACTTTCACTAGGTCACCAGCTCTTTCACTGAAGTCATCAGCCCTTTCACTGAAGTCATCAGATGTGACTCTGATCAGTTGAGTCATAGTCATACATTATAACAGACAAGATATGTCTTGCTCGAGGTAGGATCTTAACCCAGGTATTCTGTAAATTTGCATATTATTATACTAGCGTGTCTTAGTCCGCTCACACTAAAGAATCAACTAAAGAATTTGATAGTGCAACTGCACTATCGTTAACCCATTTGCTTACTACGCTATCATCTACCTATGTCACCTATGTTGAGTTTCGTAAAGCTTCAACAGGGTCATCACATGAACCGTGTGAGCTGTGATTTGAAATACACCTGGTCACCGATAGAATGCAAATCATAGGGCATAGCATTTCACAATTTGGAGCATTTGATGACTGCAAATAAATAACCATATATGGACTGGTGAGCTGCTGAGGTGTATATGCATACAGAATACAGATGGAATCACTACAAGGTTTCCTAAACGTGACCTGGAACGAACAAAATGTTAATGTGGAATTTGTTTCAAAACATATAATTTTACATATAATTTTACTAATTTTAAATATAATTTTACATATAATTTTACATATAATTTTACATATAATTTTACATATAATTTTACATATAATTTTACATATAATTTTACATATAATTTTACATATATGTTTTAAACACAAATGTTAATTTTGCATGCTGAGGTAACTGCTCCCTCTAATCCTGTACAAACATCAGGGATAACTGTTGTCATGGAGATCACGCATTCTAGTAATCCTTGCGGTGAAATAATTTTGTATGCTTTCATATTCACGCTTCTGATTGTCACCTATCTTAGAACTGTTTAAAGGGTACCATATCGGGCAACAACATCCTTATTCATCATTTTCGAGACATCATTATCTCAAATATTCAAGAGTCGCAGTAACGAGAACCAACATTGAAACATGGAATTTGATGATTAATTATTTTCCAGATCGATCAGAGTACCAAGAAAGATTCTTCCAGAGAGATGTCATGCGACGATATGGAGGATCCCGTTAGACCTAGCTCAAAACTGGAGGTAATTTGGAATAAAACTTTAATTTTATCATGCGATCTTTATCATGCGAAGTTATTTATACTAAACTTATATAACCAAGTTTAATAATTAGCGATTGTTTGTTAGTACCTTGGAATGTGTTCAATGTTGATTTATTTCTTATAGGGACTAGCGTCCTGACTGTTGAACCAACTAACAAATGAGTACAAAAACAAACTTATAAGGAATATTAGTCGATTGATTTCCCTGTAACCACAGCTCCATCACAAACCAAATATTAGAATCACAATTTTGTAATCTGGTTCTCAAATAATATTAATATGATCTATGATACATGTAAGTTAAAAAGTTGACTAAAAACTATAATAAATCATTACAGGACATTGTTTTTCCTTTTTTTTAAATCACAAAACTGAAAACATCGACCATTCTACATACCCTGTCTTAGGCTGTCATTTGTCTCCTAAAATCAGCTGCACTTTGATTTTGTGTAGCTCATGATAGCCGAAAGGTGTTAATACGTACGTTTTCCCTTCACGAGAACGATAAGAATGCCAAATTTAGTCAAAAAATATTGAATTTTCTTCCTTGACGTCACGTAGGTTTATTATTAAGCTACGATTATTAATTATATGGGGGACAGAATCCAGAACTAGGAATGCCCAAATATGGTATCTTTTAAATCGACGAAGACACAGTTCACACGTCATGAAATATTATTATACCGGAGTCGGTATTTGTTTTTGAAGGCGTAGCCACAGATGTCACAACATTTATTAAATTAACTGTTATGACATCTGTGCTACGTATTCACCCTTAGTGGGTGGTTTTGCAATGCAAAACGTACAATGGTCAAATTTGATCATCCGATGTTACGTAAGCCAGCCAAGGGGAGGGGGTTAGGGTTAGGGGTAGGGTTAGGAATTGTTCACATGTTACGTAAGCCAGCCAAGGGGAGGGGTTAGGGTTAGGGTTAGGAATTGTTCGCATGTTAGGTAAGCCAGCCAAGGGGAGGGGGTTAGGGTTATGGTTAGGAATTGTTCACATGTTAGGTAAGCCAGCCAAGCTGGGAGGGGGTTAGAAATGGTTAGTTACGCCATCAATTAGATTCAAATTGACTGAATGAACTATTAACCTATACTACTATGACTACTTGCAACTAACCCGTGAAATCGATTCAGGCTGTTTCTCCAGAATGTCCCTTTTTCCAGGAGCCCATAAGCCCGATCCCTATGAGAACGATGTCTTGTGACCATCATAATATAAAGAGTAGAAGAAGAAGAATCAGTGCATTTTTAGGATTGTAAAAAGAGAAGCTGGATAGAGCCTTAACGTTGATGGGACATAATGTGGTTAACGTAGGCAATGCCAGAGAAACGATGTTTAAATTCTAAATACGAGTATCTTAATATATTAAGAGAAAATATATTAAGAGAAAGATATTACGAGAAAGGATACCTATAACGAGAAAGGATACCTATAGAAAAATATTACGAGAAAGGATACCTAAATACAAGATCCAAGCTTCTGTTGATATGTGTCCTAGCGAGACCTTATAAAATCTCCAGCTTTACGGTTGTGTTTTCTAGATTTGTGTAATAAATTGTCGAAATAGTTTAGCGCATGTTGTTGGACCTGTAGGTCATAGTTTTTGTGGACTATTAAGAATAACGATGTACTCGTCTTCAGTAATGACTGAATTTTTGTGCTTTGTCTTGAAGTGTGTTATTTTTTGTGTCCGGCAAATAAAATATTTGTTACTTGTTCCTTGTATTGATATTGTATTAGTATATAGACCAAATTTCAATGTATTGGTAAATAGCAGTGACTGATTGTTCATGTATTTCAATTGAAGGTGTTTTTGTTGTTTTTTGTTATGCTAATCTGATTGTCCTCACAAGTGTGCTCAGTAAAAAAATAAGCCTGATCAGGGAAGTTACTTGCGCTTTAGTCTCCCTTATAACGCTAGAAGAAGCTCTTGTCTGTGAAAACTAAACTTGTCTTAAGACTCAAATACAACGGTCACTTGGTCAGTGGTCACTTGGTCACTTGGTCGACTTCAATGCACGAGGATGTACATAAGCTGTTACATTTTGTGATATGTCAGTAACATACAGCTGTATACAGCTGTATACTTACTTTGTGGTAGTGGTATATCACTTACCTGACACTAATTTTGTAACCCGCAATTTATAAATAGATATTTATTAATAGATACAATTACGAAAAGGAAGGTAAATGCATATATAATATATAATATATACCTATATATTTATAATTTATATATTAAACAGTTTAATTTGATGCAAATAAACTCGGTATACCTTTGAACTTTGGTTAACAGATTGCTCGGGAAGGTTTATTACAAATACAGACATATAATAAGTTTGACTTTGACATATTCAATCGACCTAGCCTCAAATTCATTAGCTATCAAAAGAGAAATTTAGCCAACACAATTAAGGCCAAAAGGAAAATTCCTTGTACAAAATTTCATCAAAGCTGTTCTATTTCAGACGGACAGTAAGGACAGTGGGTATGGAGCGGAGAACAACCGATCAAAGAGGAAATTTGTTAAATTCCCGGAACATCACAGATCACTCGACGGTGATCATGGATTTAATCTTAGGTACGAAAACATTAAAATGATCCAACAGTCAATAAAGTTCGCATTTTCACATCAAAGACAGTATTCACAATTCACAGCATCGCACTTGTTATAAATGGAATCGTTCGTATTTGTAGTCAAGAGAAACGCCACCCTTGGCCTTGCACCGTATACGCAATTTTTTGACGAGAAGAGAATTTTTGATTCCTCAAACATCAAAGATAACAGAAATCAAAAAAGTCATATTATTATTAAGAATTTTATGGAATTTGCACTAAATTCGCGCCAGCATTGTTGTAAGAAAATTTGTTTCTTAAATCGAAATCCCCATATTAAGTGTTAAGGCATGCCTTCGCTACACGTTATATATACGTTACTAATTATTTATTTTCAGTAAAAGATTTGCGCGAAAATGGAAAAAGAAAATGCAACTTGCCTAAAACGCAAAGGTTCCTAATAGTAATACCCATGTTAATATTGAATTAGAAATCTAAAATGTTGCAGAGCTTCTAGAACTTGACCTAGTGTGTGTGTAACTGTTTGTATGCATGTTTAATGAAATGACGGGTTAGGGTCAAACAATTGTTTCAATCATAAACATAGTCAGGCGTGAACACGAATACAGAGTAGGCCAGGACAGCTGTGACCTTTATACCGCGGGGAAACTAAAGAATCAGCTACTCCAATTCTCCAAACTCCGCCTGCTCAACTTCCGTACAAGTGGAAATTCCTACTATCACTTTTTGTCTTTTCCCAAAAAAAATTGTATTTTCTCAACTTTAATATTTGAACCTGTCCAACTGTCTTAAAGTTAATTTCTGTTAAAGTGTTTTTTTCAAAATCCTTGTTTACATATTTGTTGATTGACAATGTCAACCCTTCCAGATCGTTGCTCTGTTTTGTAGATGTAAACAATCTCGAGAGGTTAATTTGAGGATTAGTTAAATAAGAGTCCAACTGTCTTAAAGTTAAATTCTATTATAAAATGTTTTTTCAAAATCCTTGTTTACATATTTGTTGATTGACATTTGACAATGTCAACCCTTCCACTTCCAGATCGTTGCTCTGTTTTGTGAATGTAAACAATCTCGAGAGGTTAATTTTAAGAAAAGCATACATATTTTGGTAACTAACATGTTTAATATGCCACATACGCAATACGCATACATTAAAGAAATAATAAAATTTTAAAAGTAACGTAGCCACCCAGTCAAATTAGTCAAAGTTTCAAAAACTTTAAAAAGTGTGTGCTTTTTGCGTAAATTTTGTGTAACTTTTTGTACTACTTTTATCAAATCATGAATAAACCTTGAAATATTTTTATCGTGTTGGTTGCAGTTTTTTCCGAAAAGCAACCCCTTTTATTGTTTGTTATACTTATATTAGTTGATTTTTTTCTCCGCAGGCGTTTTTTTCAGAATTTACTGCGCGCAAAAAGCATATATTGTTATCACTCTGCTCTTAGTCTTGCGCGTACTGCAAAAAACTTTAAACATCCATAACTCAACGGCTTATTTTTTCACAATGACTTTTATAATGCCCAGTTGAATTCATATAAAAAATTCATATCCAAAGTAAATTATATTTGCTGCGTCAATTTGATAATTGGTATCATCGCACAAAATCATCAAAACACATATCACCAACTTATACTAAAACACAACTACTATTAGTACACAACATTTTGAAATTGTCGATTTTCATGATGAAAGGTAATTATACCAATTAAAAATGTTAACTTTAATTTCAAATTTACTCAAATCTACTATAAAGTTCCAATATCACGAATATTCACATCTGACACTAAAATCAAAGTTTTGTTCAGTAAGAATAGTAAGGGGTCGTTCACATTTTACATTATTACTTTTTGGTCAATTTTAACGCCTCATCCCCGTCCAAAATTAGTTTAACTTTAAGTTTAACACCTCCCCTCTCAGTTTGAGTTATTAATATGTGAACGACCCCTAACCTTAAAAGCAAACAAAAAAGTTTCATTTACAATTTCTAATCATTAACATCATTAATAATGGTTTTACTACCTCAGTACAAGTCCACAGCCGTTTGAGTGTGACCCTGACGTCTGTTATGATGGTCTGCCACAACGCCCCAACACTTCGTGTGATGTTTCAGAAGGAAAAAAGAAAAATGGCGGGTTTTTCAGCTCTTTCCGATCAAAGAAGAACCACACCGAGAAAGACCATAGTGAAGAAGAACAGTCCTCCACTACAAAGAAGAAGAGAAAGAAGAAAAGTTCGTCGTCAAGTTCGAAGGGCGGAAATAACCTTCAGGTAAATATAAATTTGATGAATATGTTGACATTTTATTTCATAGTTTATTTCATACCCAAAGGGCCTTTTCCATTTTCACAAGAATTTTCTTAAAATTTGGGCGATTGAATTTAGTAGGACTAGGACTAAAAGCGATTTTATAGGACTAGGAGCGATTTTATTGTCCTATAGCATAAGATCGTAGTTATAGTTTAAGCAGAATTGTTGCGGAAGTTTTGAGGATTACTTAAACAAGTTAAATAAGAGTCCAACTGTCTTAAAGTTGAATTCTGATATTGTCGTTTTGTTACACAGAAACTGGTAGTGGTACTGGTAGTAAAACCTGTACTACTACTACTACTACTAGCAATAAAAATACAGACGCTTAGATGACCGTACGCGTATATTATTATTATTTGCGCCGCGACAGTGGACAGGTAATCAAAGTTCAATTTGATTTGAAGATGTGAATTTTTAGGGAACCAGTGTAGTTGTAACAGCAAACAGAGATTTGATTTAAAATTATACAGGTGGTAGTGGAACTTTATGTCGAAGTGAGTTCAAATAATTTACATTCTGCTCAGAACTGTTGCCTCCCTCCAGGTAACCTCCAAGCAACAATTCGTCTTGAGAGGAAAGAAGAACCCTAACTCTACAAACGGTGGGAGAGTACCTGGACACAGCTTCGATAATGGAGACATGTGAACTGGGAACCATAGAGACAAGTCAGAGTTTTCTCACTGATAGATTGACCACTGAACCATAATAGTTGCGGATATTACCCACTAGAATCTGCTGGCTCGACCCAGGCTTCCGCTTCAAGTTCAAACACAGACCAAACTCACCAAACTCACCATATCATACATTGCGGCTCATTTCGTTAATTTATGTTATACTTATAGTTATAGTCATCTCCATTAAATTCTTGTAAGATCATGAGCTCAACGAATTTACGGTCAAGAGGTAATATTATTCCTCAAATCATTATAATTTTCTCACAGCAGTTGATTTTAGGCAGAGATTTTCAAGAGAGGTTCTTTTGTTTAAAAGAATTCACATTTTCTTTGCAATGCTCGACTGAGAATGAATCATCCACAAACCGGCAAATATATTACGATGATTTATTTATTTTTGAAATGGAACTATAAGTAAATGTTAATGATACTGGGTTGGAATAATTATTGTATGTTTGTTTTAAGCGTTTAGCGTGTATATAGATTTCTTCAAATTGCTGCATATTTCTAGTTTCTTGATTCATGTTGTTTGTTTTTAATGCCTTCATTTAGTCAGACGCCAATAAAAAACGAATATCGTTGTAGAACCTTGACCAGCAAGTTTTATAAATGTATATTACACAAAATAACACAAAATATACATTACTTAATGCTTCCACCACCCAAATTTGGCTTTAAACATAAACTTATTTACTAAAGCAAATTGGACTCATTATAGGCGATCCGTATTTTCATTTAGACCAAAAGTGGGAGTCCGTTAATGGAAATTTACATGATCTTAAATTCGTCAACAGATCCTACCTGTATATTCCCGGTAGAATAATTAAAATAACATGACCAGGACCTATCTTCATAATTATTCGTAGCTTCTGTCATGGTTCCAAATGTCAATCTGTTATTCCAAGATCAAGATTCAGTAGTAAATACAGTCGTAAATACTCAGTAGTAAAAATAACTAAATTTTAGAATTCAGGGTATCTTCAATCTTGGAGGACTATAATTCCCACGTTTTGATAATGTAAATAAAACTTAAATATATGCAAACCTTCATTGTTTCTATTTTTAAATGTCAGCTGTTACAAACATTTCAAAGATAATTCATTGTTTTACATTATTAATGCAGGACATCTCCGAGTTACGCAACGAGAACGAATAGCTTAATCTTAACTCCGTGTGAGCTTATTATACTTAGTAATTTTAATTCTATCAAGTATTATTAACAGCAATCATCATCACTTCATTATTAACAATTAAACTTCAAATCCGACAACACAAATTCGATAACACATACAATTTCGCAACTAAATCATCCGCAGAAGTAATAATATTCGCATCAGAAAATCAGCCAGTTTGTAGCACTTCAGAGTAATCTGAGAAACGATCACTTTTTGAACTTGGTGGCGAAGAGAGCCACAACCATACACAAGATCACTAGAGCTAGAAATATAATAAATATACACTTTCTCCCTCGCTTTTGGTGTTTCTCCGCTTTTATCAATTCTTGGTAGCCGTCCTCAACCTGCGACATCACATAAACAGATAAAGTAAGGATACATTTCAGTTATTCCAGGTTTGGTTTTGTAGGGTGAGAAATATAAATATGTCACAAAATCGAGATAATTTATATCCTCCGATGCTAACATTCGTGACCCCCGAATTGGTCGTGAACCTTTTCATGATCTAAGGTAGAAGAGTATTCTTTACTTATAATCTAAAGAACTAATTAATATTATTTTACCTTTACGACAGTTTGCTCCATGTTATAATCGATCCTATCAAGTACTGTCCCCTGATCGGCCACCAGACCAGCCAGATCGCTGAATATACTCTGCAGTTCTGCTATACTCTCCACAATCCGCCGTATTTCCTCGTCTCTCTGTTCCACCTGCCTGCTGTTTTGTTCTACCATCTGAGGATAGTTAATTTTAAATAATAATTAATCTGTAATATTATGAATTGATGATAGACTTCAGCTGAGAAATTTGGCAGTCCTGGTCAGAGGATCAGCAGATAAATTGTTAACAGTTACAGTACCTAAAGTAAGTAGTTGATTTGACAGACTTGTAATATGATTATTTCACCTTGATAAGTGGTAATTAATCATGATAGACTTCAGCTCGCGAGACCTACGTGATATAGGTATATTACTAGTGATATAATAGGAGAGCTGTGACTACAGCTTAACAGTGAAGATAACAAGGCTATCCATACCAGTACCTGAATTTGCTGGTTGGTGAACTTTGAGTCGATGTACTCCTGGTCATCATCACCACCGAATAGGTCCTGGTAGTCGTCCCCAACTCCTAACATCCGCTCTCTTTCTTCCCTGCCTTTTAATCTGAAAAAGAGATTTACTTTCATAACATACTTTTGAAGTAAAAGTATTATGTAATCTAACTATGAGGGCGAAAATAAACAAATTCCATGTATTCGACTACCTTTTTCGATTTTAGAATACGAATTTCTACTCCGAGAAGAAACAAACCTGTTCAAATAGTCACTCTGTAGTTTCTTGAAATCTGAACTTTCTTCCTGAATTTAATAACATAATGAAATATTTAATAATAATATTCAATAATGTTACAAAATTTAATAATACGTGTCAAAAACTTTGTCAATAATATAATTATAATCTAATAATACGTGTCAAGAACTTCGTCGATATCAGGTATCGCAAATTTGATTTGTTGAGGGTTAAGTCTACCTCTATATATAATATAATAAGTTGAAGGTTAGGTTTACATTCTAGTTTTAAGAATCACGCATACCTGAAGAGTGGAAGCTAAAGATGACATGATGTTGGTGGCCATCCTAAGTTGTTGAGTACTGGAATTCCGAGCTCTTTGTCCAATCAACTTTATACTATTTTGACACTTATGGAATCCTCTGGTTATTTGCTTGGTAAGAATTTCTATCTCATTCTCTTTCTCTCTGTCGTCATCAAACGCGTTCCTGTAAGAGATTATTATATGTTATTCTCCATAATATTTCTAGAAATGAAAAAGTAACTACCCGACCTGGGCTATAATTTATGATTATTTCAGAATTTCGAATTGTTCTATTAGAAATACGTTTATTTGCATTATATAAGTAATTAAGGAAATTGGTAATCTTTTTTTGCTCTTATGAGTGGGTCAATCATTTATTTTGAATTGTAGTTGACACACTGAGTGGAGACTCTCACTTCGTCAACTACAATTCAAAATAAAATTAAGGAAATTGCTTATAATGCACTGTTGTTAAGTTTATGAAGGAGCAAACTGTCTTAAGAGAATATTCTTTATCTAATCTAAGTTCCTGACGATTGCTGTAGTTTAATTGCTATATAGTCTGCAACTTGCCATTTGAACTTTGTTTCATTTGTTCAGTTCTATAAGTTATATATATAAGTAATATTCAAAATAAAAAAACCTTTCATCGTTCAAAATTATCATTCAGGAGCAAGTAATTTCTACTATATCTTAAAACCATTCCTAACTTTATATTAAACCAAAACATTGACACTACCGCGAAGTCCTAAATAACGGGTAACAGGGGTAATAACAGGGGTAATAACAGGGGTAATAACGGGTAACAGTCTCAGCAGTTCCCACAAGAAATAGCACAGCCCTCCTCCATAAAGTCCTGGTACTGGGAAGTATCCTGACAGTACCCAATCTGACTCCACATCTCACAGTCGGCCCCCAACTCCGTGTTCCTGCAGATCCCACCGCTGTTGGGAGACAGAACAGGAACTATCTTCTCCTCAAGTTGGGCGATCTCTATTTCTCCATCACTTGTCACTTCAATAATGTTTAACTCCATGTAGTCGTGTAGGTGGGGAAACACTTTGAGGGGCTGGTCGTTGAGAAAAGCGGCAAAAAAATGTTCATCTACCCTTATCCGAACCACAGTCCTGTCGGGTGAGGAGTCAGGGGAACGCATTTCTTCAGTCAACTCATCGGATATACCGAGAGATGATTGGGGCAGATGTGCGAACTGGTGAACTAGCTTCTTCTTGAAATTAACCACTATTTTGTAGTAAATGCTAGTAGTATGAGTGAGGATGGTGAATGCGGTTTCTAGATATCTGAGTTTCACATCTACAGTTGAGTTGGACCGGATCTCAAAGATATGTCCTTCTTCGAGGCCATGATCAATATAAAAGTCTTCGTAGTGGCGAGCGTATTGTTTATCCCAAATTTCAAAGTGTGCAAACCGACTAGTAAGTTGCACTTCCTTGTATTTCAAAACAGGGTAAAAAATGATGAATTGATCTATAGGATATTTAACAATACTATTCCTATTGATGGCCATTTTCCCCTTCATCCCCCAATCTATTCCCCATGAATTTTGCACCAGATAGTGATCATCTGCGTAGCTCACAAAGATAACGAAATGATTGCAGCTCACAAACAAGTTTCCTGTTACTATGTCCGTAAAAAGTCCAGATTGGTAAAAGAAAAATCCGATATGATCGACCTCTACATGAATACAGACGGTCAGCGGAGCTCTTTTAAGACTCTTCTCCATTGTATCTTTCCCTAAGCTAATCATGTGGAAAGAGGTTAGATCCATCCCTTCTTCTAGTGCATTGGGAGGAGTATCCTTGCATTCTTGTTTAACACCGCTCCACTTCATCTCATCCTCCAGACCTATAAAGGTATGATCCCGCAAGGTCTTCCATACTTCGTGAGGGAAAGATGGACGATAAGATTGATCCTGGCCTTTAATACAGTTCAGGAAGTATTGGGACGAGAATATGGTGACGTCAGATGTTGGTATGTGCAGCAATGATTTGTAGAGGTATTCAAGATGCATGACAGCGGCCATGATGCCCCAGGAGGGATAGGCTCCGCTGTGCCGAGTATTCACTACCACTGCAGAGAAATCGCCAAGATCTATTGGAGCTAAATTACCGGGAAGTGAGGCGTAACAGGCAAGTAGTTCCTTGAATAGTGTAAACTCGTCCAAATTAGGAGCAGACAGATATCTAACCCACTCAGTCTGGTCAAGCAGAGCAAAGAAATTTAGTTCTGTCTCGTATGTCTTGAATGGTGCCACTTCCTTTAGGGTATCTTTATTCTTCTTAAATATTTGCAACCGCTTCGATTTTGATTCCGGGCCGAATTCGTATTCTGCATTTTCAAAAGGACCGATTCCAGCATCTTTAAAATCAAGTTTTAAGACAACTTCATTCCAAAGTTGTTCAAAATGTGAATGGCAATATACTTGAGTGAGCAAAAAGCACAGGACGAGAAGCTTCATCACGAGGATTGGAGAAAATGTACTACTACTAATAAATTGCCACGTTTCCGACGTGCTTTGTTTTTGGTCTCGTATGTGTTTTGGTCTGCTGTTAAACAAACCAGAGGTAAGAGTTTTAACACTTCGTCTTCAACAAACTTTCGTGTTGCACTCTGTCAAATCACCACTGTGGTACACGTTCGCAGTACAGTAACGGGTGATAACAAACAAAATTAACTTTTTTTCAAATCCTTTTATCGCGTGATCAATTCATTTGTTGTCAAAATCGATGAAACAGTGTTAAAATTTGGACAATTTTGAACAAAAAAGTCAATGGCAAACACTCAGAAGCCTCTTGTTGTAGGCTTGGAGCAATTTCTTTCTTACAGCCACTGAAGTACAGTTTGCATCTAGGATTTTTTTAAAGTTCCATTTTTGTGTAATCACCCGTAACACACACCATACTTCTGTCGAACTAGAGTGCGCTACCTGGACTCTAGTTCGACACGCACCCCAGTTCGGCACGTACTGTAGTTCGACAAACCCTAACGTGAATCTAACGGTGCTACCTGGACTGTATATGTTTTAACTGACTGTTTACTCTACTCCTCAGTTAGAGAAAAACTTCCATCCCAAAAATATCACTGACCTAGCCGGTTTGCTATCTGATAAAACTCTAGACCCTACAAAATTTACTGCCACAGCTAGAGCAATCCATTCAATTCTCTCTATGAACGAACAATTTACAGCCAGTACTGTAAGAGCCCAGATTTCCACTCAAATACTGCCAGTGCATAATGCTATAGGACCTCAAAATAAGATATAACTCTACAAATTCGATCTATTCAAAGAAAAATAGTATTATAAAACATTTCTATTTTATCCCTACACATTTGTAAATAACTAGAATTGTGTAACTTTAAATTATTCCAGAATTACAACTATTGTGAACTCAATAAAATAATTATCACTTATGTATCCTTGTATCCTTGTATCCTTGTATCCATGTAGGTCGAAAGTTTGAAAAGAGAGGTATTTCCACATTATTCATTTCAGATTACATAAATTGTAAAGGGGGCACGGGTTGTACGAATGACATCCTGATATTAAAATTTGTGCACTCATAAAGCAGGATTTTTAGTTTAAATTGACCCCGGACTTGCTTGAATTTGCCAGGGCTAGTAGGGTGTCCTTACTTTTGACAGATAAAGTTACTAACCATTCAACCATAACCAATAAATGCACCAGCAGATGCGCGTGACCACCCTAAATATATAGGGCTCTCTGATGATTGCTATAATATTAGAGGTCACATATTCCCACCATTCTCACCATTCTCACCATTCTTATCATTCTCGCGCTACATTTTAATTTAAAGTGTCAAGGGTGAAAATAAATAAAAAGGGCGGAATAATCTGCTACTGTTGCAGTAATTACAACGGGCATTCGTTACAAGGTGTAAGTTTGCAAAAGAGCTAATTTCACGTAGCTGTCACATGATGATGAATAGCTTGAATAGTGTAAACTCGTCCAAATTAGGAGCAGACAGATATCTAACCCACTCAGTCTGGTCAAGCAGAGCAAAGAAATTTAGTTCTGTCTCGTATGCGGTATGTCTTGAATGGTGCCACTTCCTTTAGGGTTTATGTATTCTTCTTAAATATTTTCAACCGCTTCGATTTTGATTCCGGGCCGAATTTGTATTCTGCATTTTCAAAAGGACCGATTCCAGCATCTTTAAAATCAAGTTTATAAACAACTTCATTTCAAAGTTGTTTAAATTGTGGCTGGCAATCTACTTGAGTGAGCAAAAAGCACAGAACGAGGAGCTTTAGTGGTCGTTCACATATTACGTAATCAGCTGAGGGGGGGGGGGTTTCCGAATGATTATGCTAGTGTAATTTTGACTGCAATAGCTATATGTAAAACTGATTACGGAGGGGGGGGGGGTGTAAGTGTGTTCCAAAAAATAATTACGTAATAATGTGAACGACCCCTTATTATGAGGATTGAAGAAAATGTACTACTACTAATAAATTGCCGCGTTTCCGACATGCTTTGTTTTGGTCTGCTGTTAAACAAACCAGAGGTAAGGGTTTTAACACTTCAACAACACTTCGTGTTGCACTTTGTCAAATAACCAGTGTGGTTTATTGTACAGTAACGGGTGATAACATAAAAATATAACTTTTTTTTCAAATCCTTTTATCGGGCGGAATAAGCGGATCAATTCATTTGTGGTCAAAATCAATGAAACAGTGTTAAAATTTGGACAATTTTGAACAAAAAGAGTCAATGGCAAACACTCAGAAGCCTCTTGTTGTAGGCTTGGAGCAATTTCTTTCTTACAGCCACTGAAGTACAGTTTGCATCTAGGATTTTTTTAAAGTTCCATTTTTGTGTAATCACCCGTAACACTAGTTCAACACACACCATACTTCTGTCGAACTAGAGTGCGCTACCTGGACTCTAGTTCGACACGCACCCCAGTTCGGCACGTACTGTAGTTCGACAAACCCTAACGTGAATCTAACGGTGCTACCTGAACTGTACATGTAGGTCGAAAGTTTGGAAAAAGAGAGGTATTTCCACATTATTAATTTCAGAATTCAGATTACATGAATTGTAAAGGGAGCATGGGTTGTACGGATGACATCCTGATATAAAGATGTTTGTACTCATAAAGCAGGATTTTTAATTTAAATTGACCCCGGACTTGCTTGAATTTGCCAGGGCTAGTAGGGTGTCCTTAATTTTGACAGGTGAAGTTTACTAACCATTCAACCATAATCAATAAATGCACGAGCAGATGTCACGTGGTAAGACGTAGGAACACCACCCTCAATATACAGGGTCTGATGATTGCTATAATATTGGAGGTCACATATTCTCACCATTCTCACCATTCTCACCATTCTTACCATTCTCACGCTACATTTTAATTTAAAGTGTCAAGGGTGAAAATAATTAAAAAGGGAGGAATATTTTGCTACTGTTGCAGTAATTACAACGGGCATTCGTCAAAAGGTGAAAAGGTGTATGTTTGCAAAATAATTAATTTCACGTAGCTGTTCTATATCACATGATGATGAATAGCTATGTATAAACTATAATATGTATATTGTATAATAATTATATAATATACATTGTATAATGCATATTTATATAATAGACGGTGAATAGACAATATTTTAAATATAATAGACGGTGAATCACCGGGTTATTTTGACTAGGGTAGTCAAATAATCCCACCTGAGATGATCTCCGTGCAGGGATTCCAAGTGGGTCATTTTCCTCCGGATATCTGACATTTCGAACTCTATGCTTGTTAGTTCGTCAGTGAAAGCAGGAGGCAGGATTGCACTGGAGTCGCCACGCTCTGAGTCAGTATTGAGGAGTGTGTCCACATCCCCACCAGACTAAGGGATATGGAGTTTTTAAAAAGGTTAAAGGTTAATAATTGTTAATAAGAAGTTTGATGTGCAATGTGCAATGAGCATAGAACTCAAGACTCAAGAGAGATGGAAACTGTGTAGGACCTACACGAAAGATAGTGATATGTCATATCTAAATTCCAGAAATCAGCAACCGAAAAACTGTGCCAGCACATCCCAAGAAAGCGAAACAATAGTTCGCCGGAGCAGTTAACAGCGCTAAAACCTATGATGCACAACAGTTACTAAAGAGGGCTCATGTTAGCAATAAATCCATTATATTGTAACATTAAATAACATGCTCAATCGATGCACAGTAAGAATGTTAGATCACGATTTTGTTACGGAACGAGTGATTGATTTCCCATTTATTCCATCATATTGTGATTTATTTATTGTTTAGAAGAACGGTAAACGAATATATGGAAATTGGTACGAAATTCCAGTTTTTACGTGTTCAATCCAACGGAATCCGGTGGAATGATCACATGACTAGTTTTGTTATGTTGTCACATGATCTAGTGTATCATAGAATATTAGCACAGTTTTACAAGCAATTATTGGATAGCAGCACATAAACAAGTTTCATACCTTTGCAACAATGTTAACAACTACAGGTTGGCTCTTCTGAAAGCAACAAACTAAACAATCAGCGCTTTTCCAGCACAACAATAGCTTCGAATTTTTATGTAACCATCAAAGCTAGATCATGAAAAATTAAACTGTGTAAAAAGCAAGAGGTAAAAGCAGAAAACCAAGAAAAAATGGCAGTAGATTTGACTCACGTCGTCTTGTCGATAGCTGACCGGACCCTGGAGTCTCCGCTTAGCACTCCTGTTGCGTTCTTTGCTGAATAGATTCCAGTGATCCGTAGTGACAAGAGGAAACTTTGGTACTCCGCTCATGTTGTTGTGATTTGAAAAATGGAGTTTACATTCTAATTCTGGGAGTCGATATGTTACACTGGGTGGGTTTTTACACTAATGTAATGTCTAAATATCTCTAACCAGCTTTTAGATGTTCAAATCATCTTAATAAATATATAAATTATAACTTGTGATGTTCGTAAAATTAAGAAATGGTTAATGGAAGGCATGGTACAGAAAAGAAAGAGGAAGGTATATTACCTTTAAACGTATCAATTATTTCATTCAAAACTATCGTAAATTTAGCTTCATCTAAAATAAATAAGTTCTACAAACAGAGCTTAGCAAAAGTTAACCATATTTTGAAAGAAACTTGTTTATCATGTTTCAAATCTATGACTGAAATAATGACGTTTATTGCAAATGCAAACAAAACATGCAACAGCAAAATAAAACATTTACCGTTGAAATTCCTAACTGTCCTCGAGAAATTACCATATTTTCTACAATATTAAAATTAGGTAAAATTGGCATGCTTCACAAAAAATAAAATTATACCATGATAATGTTTTTACAGAACCAGCAGTGTATGAAAGACAGTTAAGTAATTGTTATTTATATTATTAATAAGGAAATATATTATGACCATCATTTAATTCTCAAAATAGTTCCCTTGATTGAATAAAATCAAAATAAGTCTGTCGTTCTTACATCTTTCCTCTATACTTGTGGACTCTCGTATGTATCATGGGGGGATTACCAAATAAGGTTATATAGGAAATAACTTTGTACTGATATCGGGTAGTTTACCAATTCTTTCTAGTCTATTTTAACCGTGGCATAGATCTTGTAAATGAATATCCTGCATGCTAGATATCCGATTGTTCCTGAAATTTTTTGGTGATGATAGAAAATATGGATGGGAAGCTATAAACAGATGATTTTGATCAATGTTAAAAACAAGCACTCCAAAACTTCCTAGCTAGGTAATAATCATTAAGGTGACGGTCGGTTAAATAACTTTCACGACCCTTTACTTACCACACATGATACCAAAAGCAAGACTGAAAACGAACATGTTGGCGAAGTAGAAGACTGTCTGGAAAAGACCGTACATTCTGAAATACATTGCCATTAACCATACATAATGTTCCGCAAATATACACGCGTCAAAATCTACACGAAATACAATTTAAACTCGCGTGCGCACCAGATGATGTACGACGTAGCTCATGAAAATATCGATCGCGCGCTCCATTCAGTCCGATTTTAATGTGATAAACTCAAAGATCATCGCCACGTTAGCTCAGAGCGAATTATCCCGAATTATCATCCAATATCCGGCATAAAATGCATATCAAAGCGATCCGATCTTACTTGGTCTTGAAAACGAAATAGTAGATAGCGTAGAGGTAGATGTAGAAACCAGTAGATGCTGCACTGAGAAAACTTGTCCACTGCCTGGAAAATATCGATGTTTAGTAACCGAAGTCTGGGAATAAATCATTCAATTGTTTTGTTCTTCTTCTATATTCGGGAAAGGGTGTGCCCGCCGATTATTTCAAGAAGGAATTTCCTCCAGAAATTCATAATTCAGCACTTTCTTGAAGACTAAATCATAAAATTTCGCATACATCATATTATAGCAATACAGAGCAAGAAGAGGTCATTGGCCAACTCAAATAGAACTTAAAACTTATGCTATATTTTGTAAATTTGTGACCATTCCAGGGGAAATCCCGATACACTTAAAAACGATGGGAAAGATTGACTTACCATCGGTAATCCTCGCTATTAAGAAGGAAGTAGATGCAGACAATGGTAATGCAGATTGTAACAGCCATCAAGATGAGATAAACGAGCAACATAAACCCGTATACATAGTAAATCTTGTACGCCCAAAATGATGTGAATATAAAGTACCTGGGGATTTTAAAGTTACCCTTGCGTCTCAAATACAGATAAAGAATCTGGACAGTTCTTATTGTGATCTAAGATCACTTACATTTATTTATTAGTGCTTTAGGGGTACCGAACTTTCGGAGGAGTAAGTGAATTATAAGAGTTGAAGAATGATATCGTTATATTTTCGTACATTTCGATGAAAACTGAACCAAATGGTAGGATTCCTCCAGCGCACCCAATAAAACTTGGCTCCATAAACCACTTCTTCTCCGGAATTTGCCTGAAATAAATCCAATAAAAAACCAAGAAAGAATGTAATGCAGAATTTGTTCACCCAGATTTCGTGGGCGTGAAATACAAAAACATATACAGTTTCATTTTACAAATCCATAAAATCTCGTCTTAAAGAAATATAACGATTACGATTGCTCTATCCCCGGCAATCATTACACCAACATGACAACAGATGATGGATATTTCAAACCTGGGTACAGGGTTGATTCTACAGGGAGGTTTAGGAGTACCGGAGACGTTCCTCCCAAACACCGCCCCCACCATCGTCAGGGGCAGGATTATAAATAGACAGATTGACGCTATCGCTATCTGGCAATAATAAAGGATCACTTTTTTGGAAATATGTAATTTTTTCCTGTTATGATTGGAAAATGTGTAATGTGATACGTGCGCATGATACAATATAGTGTGTAATATATAGTACTGCGCCACTGTTATTTGTTTTGAAACTTCCCGCCAGCCAGTCTGAGGTGACTCGCAGTCTGTCCTCATAATCTCTGGCAACCCTCGCGAAAAATTATCGGTTACCAGAGTCCAGGACTTTTGGGGGAAATAATTCCCGGAAAATATTATAAGCCCTCTAGAACTGTTCTGTTTACGAGTAACCAGAGAGGGACTACAAAGGAATTTAGAGACAATAACTCTACATTTAACTAGAGCACTAGATTCCGACATTCTAATTTTTATCAAACAATTGAAATTAAGGACCAGATACAAGGTTGAACGATTGTTTATCTTAGCTACATGAAATTAGGAAAGTTTCAGTATAATATCCTCTAGCTGCTATTTTCATTCTTTTATTTTAGTTAAATTCCATTAATTGATCATTATATCATCTTGTCACTAATTAAGTAATTAAGCTACTAATAGTAATTAACAGGTACTTACCATACTGGTGAATGGGATTGCTTTGGCACTGTGGTAGGAGATAGCAATGAAGTTGATGAAGAAAGAAGTTGAGCACACAACACCAGGAAACAGACTCGCTCCAACTAACGACTGTCTGATCCACCGGCGACCTGGTTTTATATCGATTTATTGTCATGAGACTCGTCGGCTATAGTCGGCTATAGCCGGCTAATTGTAGATATTTTTTAAAGAATATTATCTAACTTGGACTATAACCTCCGGTTCCATCAGATGATGTAGAGTCGAAGCCGCCAACTTACACTGTAAAGATTTGAAAGCGCGAACAACGAAAACCAACATAAAGCTCAAGCCAAAGAAAATACCCACCTCCGAGTTGAGAATAAAGTGCACCGCCGGTGTACCCATTAATGGGGGAGGTAGCAGCGTACACGAATATTGCAGTAGAGAGGATACTACCTCTCTCCGTCCACAACTTCTCTGTAACAGCCAGGAGGATGATTACGAGTGCTGCACAGGAGAGCTGACAGCCAGTGCCGATCAGGGTGCTGAAGAAGAGAGAGTGTGCGCTTGGTCTGAACACGTCACCGTGGATCTGAGAAGGGTGCATGTTTTAGTTAATGTTTTTATCTAATGAGACTTTGTGTACTTCCAATATATCTGCAAAATTAAATAACAAGGGAATGTGACAGTTAGAGGGCCTGTAAGTACTGGAAAACTTAATTTGAAGAAAATGAAAGACTTCTAATCAATATACGAAAAGATAACATTACATTTACAGCTTTAAGAATTGATATTTTGCACATGAAAATCACCTGTTTCCATCCATACTCGTCACCCAAATCTCTCTCAATATCGTCCAAATCATCATCTTTACTGTACCTCTGGTAATCTTTCCTTAACGTTCTCATCAATATCATGGCCACCAAACCGACCAGGAATATCACCATCATGAAGGAGTTGAAGATAGAGAACCAGTGAATCTGTAATCCATGTCATTATTATATCGTTTTAAAATTGTCAATTTCGCAAACACATACTTGCTTAGTGTAAATATGAAGTCTCAATTCATGGCTTCCAGGTTCAATCTTGATAATTGAGCTTCAACAATAAGTTTCAAGATATAACCTTGTGTTTGAAGAAAGACGCGTCCAAGTATTTATCGTATCTATCCTTAAACTCGACACTACTTTCAGTCCATGTGACTTCATATGACATTTCCAGGGTGGTTCCCTCAGCGACCATAGTTTTCTTCTCAGTTGTCACAGAAACATCCACAATCCTGTTACCGTTGTATGCAATCTCAATTTTCCTGAAAACGTTATATATAGAAATAGAGTGGGACACCATACTACAACAGCAGAGAATATGAAAGGAGGTGACCTTTTTTGTGCCCAGAATCTCCGAGGGGATAAAATTGCCGAAAATTAAGCTCTCCTCCCATAGTAATTTGGAGATTGAAGTGTACAGCAATCGTAGCTAAATTACCTGTGAGTCCAAACAGTATACTCCTTCTCATTCTTCTCTCCGACAATAGCCCATATGGGCAGATCATCAAGATACATCTGATACCAGTAGTGGTTCTTGATAGCGTACACCAACAATTTGTGGTCCTTTTTCGTCAGGGGCTGCCTACAGTACACATTACTCGCTACATTCTCTGAAAGTAAAAGTTTTCTTTAGTTTTTCTAAGAGATTCTTGTTCGAATAATGACAAAAGGTATTATGATTCCTCCTACAAGCTTGATAAAAATGAAAAACTAAAATTAGAACTTTAATAGCATAACCTACTTTTGAACTGAATATCAAGTCCGCTGAAAGCTAACTCGACCCCTAAAATATTCTCTCCCAGAGTTTCGTGGTAATGTGATATTCCCTGTCTGGGCCCCTTGCAGAAGGGCAAGGAAAAGTACTTGTAAGTTTCTTGTTGGTTGTGATAGGGCCCCACTGTGTTCATCCATAGTACTACTTCTTCCCCATCTTCGTACTGAGACACCAAATTGTTATTGACATATTTTGATAATTGTGGTAAGTTCACTAATTTAACCTTTCGGTAAAATGTATTATCTAGATCTCAAAATATTTCATAAAAGCTCATTATACAATATATACACTATACAGTATACATATGAGTAATACACAGTATACATATTACATACCTTGTGATCATGCTCATCTGCAAGAACAAAATCTGCAAAGATTAAAAAGCATATGATTATAGCATTCCACATAACCGATTCTGATAACAATCACAATCACAAGCACCAAGCAATTACCACTTCAGCATGTCATCATCTACAAGAAGAATGGTTAAAGAAACAACATAATCATTGTAGCGTGATCGATAAAATTATGGTTTTGTCCGGTTTTTCATTAAGAACTTTATGTTTTGATTCATTTTGCATGTAAATATGACATCTTGAAAGAATTTTTGTCAAAGAAAACATAATTAATAATAATAAACGACACATAAATACTTATTTTAAAGTTAAGATATTATTGAAAAAACAAGTTATATATCATCAATAGTATACATTTACAGTTATCATAATATGTGTAAATCCTGTTTGTGTCATGAATATCACATCTATCAATCTCAAACATGAATATTAAGAGAAGTTTGAAAGATTTAATGTGATATTCTACCCTCACTTGTCAATTGTAACATTCTTTAGGGTGAAAACTGGCTCTTCAAATGCTTAAATATTTCAACTTCCACAAATGCACTTCCTATCGGTCAAATGTCAGCTAATGATGCCTTGATCGTTGACAGGACTAAATACACCAAGGCCATATAAAATGTCTTCTGTGAAAAGAATGGAGAGTATCATGAGTGTCCATCATTAGATTATTAAAACTGCTGTGGGGTGTTTTTGGAATTGCTGAGATTGCGTTGCAGCATTTGGACCCACCTCTTGGTGCTGTTATCATCCTGCTTGATCATCTTGTTAATGCTTCCATCTTTCAATTGCTCTGGCATGAGAGTGCGATTTAGTGCTTCTTTGGCCCTTGGGTTGTCTGTCAAGCGCAAGTAGCACCTCACTACATGCTTTAAAAGTCTCCCAGAGGGCTCTCTGACTAGACTGTCAACCATTGACTGTAGAACACTCGTGACACTCTTGAATCTCTCATAGGTATAACAGATGTAAGCAAGTCCATGATCATCAAGCAAGATCTTTTGAAGGATGAAAGTAGCAACAGTTTTGCTGAGTTCACTTCCGTGCTCCATGATTCTTAGCAGCAATGGAATTATTTCAGTGTTTAACAAGAACTGAATAACCTCCTTGTCATCAGGTTTAACCAAAGCACCCACAACACCAAGACTAGTCAGTCTCAGATACTCAAACTGACGGAGTTTAGATGTGGTGTGTAAGAAAGGATACAAGAACAGTGGAATATTAGCCATCAGGAAGTAAGATCTTGTCTCCTGATGAGAAGCAACACATTGCAATAGAGCAAGAGCATTGCATACGCTGTTACTCTGCTGAGCAGTGAGTTGGGGAGGTGATATAAGGGGATAAATTGCAATAATTTCTTGTAATAGAGCTGTTATTGTTCCAAATGAATGCCACAGCAAAGGAGCAAGATCTGGAACTAATTCTCGTTTCTTGCTCAGTTCTGCAAGTGATTGTTCCCTTGTTTCTGGATTCAAAAGGTTCTGTACCCATTGATAAATCTGCTCCCGGTCGACAGTTGCTTTTGGACTGCTAGTCATAACTGAAGCAAATTTTGGAAATTTAGTAACATAAAATCTTTAAATCAACAACTATTGTATGTGCAGGTTATAGATCTGGAAACTGATTGAGAAGTGAGCCATTCCCAACACGTGACAGTGATTTTCCTTTCAGCCAGAGGCGGCTCGTGGGAGCTGGCTGGCAGTTTTGTTGGGGGTCCAATCGATGGACTGGGGGGAGGGAGGGGGCTTGGGAGCCGGCTCAAGCTGATCCCTCCAAACTACCGATTACATTACACACAGGGCCTTGTAAATGTAATGTGTAACACTTTACAGGCGACAGCAAACAAACACAAATACTTATAACATGGGTGAAACAGGACACCAGTCCACACGTGTACGATCTCAGCCGCGCAGTATCATATAGCAGTCAAATTGCAAAGGGTCCTGGACCCCCAAATCGAGGCAAATCATAATAGATTACCTATAGTGGGATGCGCACGATGTGCTTTGTACCGTTTACAATTAACTATGTGTTAAAACTGCGCGGCTGAGTGGTCCAGGACTCCCTACAACTAAACACAAAATATCACGAAGATCACGCGTGCGCTTACATTAAAACGTATGATAGTAAATGAAGACCTTTATATTGCGATTTGTTATTTCCTAACACTATTACTAATTACTATTTCTATTTTAAGCACCAGCCACCAGATAATAATTTTAAGGCGTCCACGGACGCCTGGACGCCCTCAATAGCCGCCTCTGCTTTCAGCTTCAATATTGAACAATATTGTTTGATGCAACCTCCCCAACAGTATCCATATTCGTAAATTAGACCTCATAAATTTTTGACGTTGCATTAAACTATTAACTAAAGGTTTTCAATAATGCAAGAAAAGAACACACTAGGAAAGAAAGTAATACAATTTAGAAATTGAATTACTGTACAACGATTTTTATACATTTTCATAAATTGAGGATGTTGTTATAAATATAGAAGGATGAGGGTAATGGGCACTATGTGTAACCTATGTATCGACTAAATGTTTTAATATCTATCCAATATTGGGCATATGAGTGAACTGGAATAAACTATAACATTAACATACGTTTCATTTCCCTTTTCAAGCGTATAATTGCATACCAGCTAGCCATGCCAGATGGCCTGCATGTTTTGTGTGCAGAAAAGGGATCTATGCCAAGCATAGCTAATAAACTTTCGGTTTAATCATTTAATTACAAACAAACAATCTAATAACATTTATGGGCTCCCATGCCATGTTGATAAGTTTAAGAATTGATCAAATATATTCTATATCGTAAATTTGTCCACCTTCACCGTAAATCAATATGAATTTCGAAACAATCTGTGTGCACTGAAAGAGACCCTGAGTGCTAGTATCTTTTTGTAGCGCCCATCCCTTTTTTCAAACCTTAGGGGTACCCTTTGAATTTTGATCTTTTGGTAGGGCCCCTCATTTAGCCCTCAATTACGATTTTCTGATCATTTCAATGAGTGATTTCGCATAAATCCAACGAATCCTTATAGCTATTCTATTAGCTATCTCCATAAACTAAGTTACAGTTAAATTTGAAGCCTGGACCTTCTGCTCAGAAAGCGAATGCTCTGACTAGGCCATCCAAACAATAAGCCCCGGATAGGAGGAGGACTACACCAGATATTGGTGGCACCAATGACCAATTCGAGCAGTAGTTAACTAGTCATTAATCAAAAATCATTAAACAGCTTTAATAATTTTGTACATGGTTATTGGGCACCAAAGAAACATTGCATTTTATGATTAATACTGTTACTGTTCGCATAAAACACCCCTATAATTAAAGAGTATTTTGGTAGCGCTTCTTTTTTTTATCTAGACACTTATTTTACTTCGGAGTATTCCAACAGCCATATTGTTACACAAGTGCAACCAGCCAATTACAGGAAGCCGAAGGATTTGTTTTTAGCCAGTGACGGTTAAGGTAGTGTGTACCATACTTTCTTCGCCCGAGACTTTGCTGCAATGTGCAGCTCCTCATTTAACCCTCACACCCGATTTCTCGAGTATTCGGCTGAGTAGACCGGGGGGCTGCATAGACCACTCACGATCCTTAGCTGAATGTCAACGACACTCACCCCACGACCAGGCAGGCAGTGGGATTTGAACCCGCAATCTCACGATTGCAAAGCTGGCTAACCAACTGCGCTACCTGGCCGTTAAAAATAATTTGTATAATAATTTGAAAATAATTTGTAATCGAGTACACTTTACACGGTGGTCAGAAAATGGAAAAGAATTAATCTTTTTTATCCGGCGCCATTCTTTTCATGTTTAACATATATATTATTTAACTTACTGGTCTATTGCTCGATTTTCTCACTGTTAATTGACGGTCGTTTCACTAGGTTACGATACAGGGGAGCCGCGCATTCGTGCGCTGCGGTTCATGCAACGTATGACAAAGCGCCGCCCAGTAATGCATTGTTTGTTGCTCTAACCAGAGCCCTCTCGCTTACAGTAGCGCGCGTATACACATGGCTATGTGAACATTGTTTGTAGCGCGATGCACTGCTCAAAAAACTTTACCGCCTGTCAGGCTCGCTAGAGGTGATCGATTTTTACTGGGCCGCGCTCAGCCTGTCATTCCGCCTAATTGTCTATATGTTAATGAACATAATAGCCTGGGGTCCCCAGGTAAATCGATTTTCAACAGCGCGTTTGTCCTCGTGCGTCACGTCAAGTTTTGTCATACGTTGTATGACCCGCCGCGCACGAATGCGCAGCTCCCCCTGTATCGTAGAAACTCTACAGGGGTGTAACGATATAGTGAAACAACGATGGGGGTCACGACGTGATACAAGTCAAGTTTACTTTTTGCACGCTGCATTCAGCCTAGTAGTCATGACAACCACATTAATTTGCAAAATTAAAAAGCTGTGATCTTTTATTTGGCCCAAAATCAAACTTTTGGTGTTGATTCAAAATCTCGCTCCTACTAAATTGGGTTAGGGTTAAGGTTGGGATCAGATTAGAGGGTTAGGGTTTCGAAAAGTCGTTCAGAACTAGCTAGAGAACGGGTTGAAAAAGTCACGTGACAGTCGAGTGTAAAGTGATTAATCATCATCCTAAATCGCTCGCCCAAATTTTTAAAAAACTCTTGTGAAACGGCCCTTTGGTTGTGAAATTGCATTGATTTACATCGGTGTATTTTTGGATGCTGATTCCGATACGAATCGAAATAGAATCACTCCCAGATAGATAAATGTATAGACGCTTTGGCAGTCAATTGTAGCCTACATTTAAGTGTCCGTAGATTCAAAAGTATAAAAAATACAGTCATTTCGAACCACAGGTTTCAAAAATAATTGCTTATGCTTTAGTTTACATTATATTGAAAAATAATTTGACGTCATCATCACTTGATTCACGATGTCAATCCTTCGCAGCTCGGTGAGGCACAGTGGTGCATCTCGCCGATCTACCGAAGCATTATTAGATGCGCATTATTGGATGCGCGCGCGCGACCCAGTAGTGCATCGCGCTACAACATCATCACCACTTGATAACGTCATCAAATTAAGTCTTTTTAAAACTTGATTTTTGAAAAAATAACAATTTTTCAAATCAATTTTACACCATTAAGGAGTAATTTTATTCAAAATGTGAGGAAATTTTCACCTTTAACAATTGTTCAAGCATTCTGAAAATCTACGGGAAAGTTTTCCTACCTTGCTCCTTCATAAAAGATATTCGCTATTGAAGTTAGTGCTTTTTTGGAGAATAATTTTATAAAAGCACAAAAGTTGTGAATTAGTATTCTCTGGGGTTGGGCTATCCCAATTGGGTTGTGGAGCTCAATTTTGCTTCCTAAAGATCGAAATTGTGTTATATAGGCTAGTTTTAATGTTTAAAGTTGAAAATCGAAAAGTTGCAACGTGAGGACACGCCCAAATTGATTTAAAATTGCTAAAATCACTGAAAATTGTTATTTTCACGATTTTTATCAACTTTGGAGTCCCGTTGTGATCCAAGGTTCTATTTGAAATCTTCTGAAACTTTGCATGCTTATCGAACTATATATAAAATAACACTATGCTAAAATTTACGGTGATTCAATATTGTCTGCGTACGCAACGTCCGCTCAAAGTTTGCACGTGCGAAAGGTGATAATTTTTATCATTCGTGATTTCGAATAAATTCTGCTCTCCCACGATATTTTAAATGGCATTATATATTAATGTAATGCCAACTTGAATGCGTAAAAAGTGCCATATTCAGTTAGTTATCGACAGATATGCCTACGCTACCTAAACACAAGGAAATGTTTTCAAAGGTAAAATTTCGGAATTGTTGAAATTACCTCCTTATTAATATCAGTATTAATGAAGTTATAAGTTTACATTTCGACTTTGTTAATTATTCTGACATTATATTCAAAAAGAGATGATATTTGACCAAACCCATAATCATGGGTAGAGTGGACCGCTGCCAGTGTCTCTCTTTTCCAAACAAAAGGAAATTATATTAATTTGAACCGTCCGCAAATGCAAATTGATATCGAGAATGAAATCCGTCGCTCGCTTTTCCTATTCATTCACGGCTTACGAATTGTAATAAAGCTTATTGAATGGGAAAAGCGAGCGACCGATTTCATTCTCGATATCAATTTGCATTTGCGGACGGTTCACTGAGAACACTGGCAGCGGTCCACTCTACCCATGATTATGGGTTTTGGTCAAATATGATGTAATATAAGTCGCAGGAAAAACAAAAAATTAAATTCACTAGGAGGAAGATTTTTCACATGTCTGCACTTAGAATATCAAATATAATAGCTTGTAAAATAGTCAAATAAATCGTCATGATTATAGTATTAATTGTATGTTAAACTCAGACATCGTTTTGTGAATATAATTGAGTTATCGCAGTAATGGAAAATGCTGGTGTTAGAATTACAGAGATCATGACTAATTGAGTTAGAAGCTAGTTTGATAAATCACTGTAATTATAGTGCGAATATTAAATATTATGTACCAGCTTAGTCTTACAGCCAGGGTGTTTTCTGTATATACTTATACGTATAAATATAATTGAGTTGTCGAAGTAAAATAAAATCTCACAAGTTTTAATTTCAGGTGGTATTTTTTACATGTCTGTTCACTGATGAGGTGATACAGTATAAAATATTGTCCTCACAACTGGTCTATAAGTATAAGCAAAGCCTCACAAAATTCATAATGTGGCTGTGCTGTTTAGTGTTTATCAAGCAGCTATGTCCAGTCCGGATGAATCCGTACTACTGAGATCAGTAAAGAAGGATCTTTTCTCTGTGATCTTTTTAGAGACCATTTACTCCGGACTTCTGAATTTTCAGAAACCATTCTGCGCCTTTTTTTCTATTTAATACGTTATTATTCTTTTGTCATTGTTTTTGCTATCAATATCGTGCAATTATTTTTCTACATATTAGGTAATCCTTGAGGGGGGTTCACATATTAGGTAATCCCTGAGGGGGGTTCACATATTAGGTAATCCCTGAGGGACTGACTTACTTTGATGAAAAATTATCGTTCAAGCAATATACTTAGCGGGAAGAAAATTCATTTTCAGTGATTTTACGATCGTTTTACCTACTGTTCAAATAGTTAAGATGACAAGCCTCCATATTATCATTGGTCTTGGACTCCTCGGACTCTGCTCAAGCGGTAAGCTAAAGATATCAATTAAATTCTAATTTTCAATTTTTAATACTTTTAAACCTGTGTCAGCAGTGCAGGTGCAGTGAGGTGGGCCTATTTTCTAAACTTCAATAATATAACGATTTGGATTTTACTCGACTATCACGTGACTTACTTAAACACACTTTCTAGATGGCCCTGGGGACTATTCAAAACCCTATGGCCCTCTATTCTGATGTAGGCTACTATCCTTCAATTGCATCTATCCAAAATCTCCCTACGATGTTGACTTATCACAATGCTGGCAAGCATAACCGTAGTAATACTAGCAAATACTCGACACAATAATCAAACAAGAGTCACACAATAATCACACAATAATCAAACAAGAGTCACTGAGTAGAGCTCCGAGTCTTTGACTACCAGCACCAAACCAACGTACCTACTGACCCTATTTGTATTTTGTATTTGTATCAGATGCCATCGTGGAGTATGTGGTCTCCTGCACCTTTTCGGCCCCCTTGACATAAAAGAAAAAACCTAGATATGCAACCTGCAATTCGAAGGTGAATGCAGCCCTTACGGAAGACTATAAGGTCTTCATGCTTATATAATTAAATGATTATTAATTAATTAATGATACATAACGATAACTTGTAAACCCAAGACGTTTCCAGTATCATCATGAATCGATATACTCACTGAGCTTGGTGTCACTTGGTCATGAGAAAAAGCTGCTAGCTGGGATTGACCGTAAAATTGTATCTAGAAATAAATGCCCTTCGTAACATCTATTCCTCTGAATTAAAAACCCGGTGCTGTAAATTTTGAACCAGTATGAATTCATACTTTATTAAAACGTGGTGTGTAGTAATATGGTGTAAAGAGTGCATAATAACGAAGTTTATAAAAGCATGAAAACAGATATCGTAGAGTCGAACATCACGTCGTGTGGTAGGTGTTAAGGCGGAAAAAAATTAATGGAGGCAGTTAAACAAGCGAAGAGAACATAATTGGCGGGCAATTCAGCCGGGAACCAGTTTTAGTAGAACATAATTATAGGCTCTGGTGCTCTGGTTAAATATTGATTACGTAATATGTGAACGACCCCATATTAAGATAACTGTGTTAAATTATGTATAGACAGATATGAATTATTTAAGGAGCAATTGGTGCTGGAGGATAAGTTACCAAATTATCTTGGAGTAGCATCTTATAATGATTGATATTTGATATAGACTGACACGTCATAAGTGACAGAATGACACTAAATGACTGGATGACACTAACTATGATGTTGTAATATTTTGGTGAAGCCGAAAGACTGAAACTTAAAGTTGTGAGCGATAGAGTTGATTTAAAACAACACTGGAATATTCAGATCTTTAATGGGGTCTTTGTTGTCTTTATCGTAGTAGTTCCATCATGATGTCTGGTAGGACTCTTTCTTCATTTTATTACGTCGTGTCGCCATTCAAGATACTATCTAAGGGTGTCTCAAAACATAGTGCTAATATACTTAGCCAAAATCACTCTCTCAAAAACCGCTCTCTCCGTTGGGCGTGGACCGAAATTATAGAGAGGGAGTCACAATTAGAGAGCACTGAAAAACGCAACGCACTGAAATTTACAAATTGGAACTTCCGCAGTTCCGCCGTCACTGGACTAATGTATATTTCAATCCTTCGGCTTCCTGTTATTGTAACAAATATGGCTGTTGGAATGTCCGAAGTAAGATAAAAATGTGAACAGTAGTAGTGCAGTTGTATATTAGTGTCTTGTGCACCAGGTTCAGTATTAAAATTACAATTAATCACACTGTTTCAGAGTGGACACCCATCTTCAACTCAACATCCAACATGGTCGGTCCCTTCACCTCCTCAAACCTCCCAGTATTTAAGTTGAAGTTCACTGAAAATAAAGTGGCAGACCAGTGGCTATACCAGAGTGTAAACGTCAACCTGTACGATGGAAATGGAACAAGACTTGGTCTTACAAACTTCATTATCTATGCCACAATTGTGGATGAAGAGGTTCAGGTAACGGGTTACAAACGGTTCTATTTCAGTGGACCATGGTCAGGAAGCAGAAGTTGCTCAAAAAAACTCAACTTGGATTATCTTAAAGATTTCAACTTCGAGATGGTTACTTCAGTTGGATCGGAAGATATGTTCCAGTTCACAACATCTAGCGGAGAGAGAAACAGTGAGAGTATGGGAGTCTGCAGCAGTTACTCTACCTGGCAGGATATGTTGCTTGAGGCTGAGAGTGCTGATTTGGGGATGAGATCCTGGCTGAGCGACCTGCCCGACTACTTTACTACTGAGTACACCGTGACACCAGATTATTCAACTGATAGCCAGTCAGGTAAAACTCCTTCTAGATAGATTTAGCGGGATATAGGGCACAGTCCTCTCTGGTAGATTTAGCGGGAATATAGGGCACAGTCCTCTCTGGTAGATTTAGCGGGAATATAGGGCACAGTCCTCTCTGGTAGATTTAGCGGGAATATAGGGCATAGTTCTCTCTGGTAGATTTAGCGGGAATATAGGGCATAGTCCTCTCTGGTAGATTTAGCGGGAATATAGGGCACAGTCCTCTCTGGTAGATTTAGCGTGAATATAGGGCATAGTTCTCTCTGGTTGATTTAGCGGGAATATAGGGCATAGTCCTCTCTGGTAGATTTAGCGATTTAAATAGCGAGGATTGTCATCAGAAGTTGTCCAACCGTCCATGTAGTATCAATACTTTGATCGAAGCCGAAGTCTCGCGAGTCCTTACTGTTTATCTTACTATATATTATTATATAAGTATAACTCGACTTACTCGACTTAGGGCGGCTTCAACGTCCGAACAGAGATAGTTTTCTTCCAAATCTGTCTATCCAGCATGAGTTTGTTTATCTCCGTGCTGTCGTCAAGCCCCGTGTTCTTCCGAAGAATGTCAATATATGTGAGATGTGGTCTTCCCCTTCGACGATGTCCTTGAAGGGGTCCCAAGAAGAGAAGTTGATGACTCAATAGTTCTTCATGTCTGGCTAAATGACCTGCCAGTCTCATCCTCCGTGCAGCTATCTTATCAGATGCTCTGATGAGGTGTCCATACACCTTGGCGTTAGTCTGCCGCTCTTTCCAGTCAATGTTCAGTGCCATCCTCAGCATTCTCGTATAACATCCATCAATACGTTTTGCGAGGGTCTGGCTGACAGTCCATGTTTCAGAGCCATATAGAAGGATGGACTCGACTGTAGCCAGGAACAGTCGTATCTTGAGATCTCTACGCATATCCGACTTCCATACAAGCTTCATCTGGTGACACGCTCCCCATGCCTTAGCTTTCCTCACTTCGAAGTCCTTCTCCGAACTCTTCATTCTACTACCCAAGTATACAAAGTCATCGACTTTCTCAATGTTCTTCCCACTCCCAGCAACCAGAGTCGGGTTATCATCATCTCTTATGTTGATTCCCATGTACTTAGTTTTCCCCTCGTTGAGGTGGAGTCCAACTGAGTTGGCCGCCAGTTCCAGACTCCTGAGGAAATCTTGTGCCTCCGCAACACTATCTGTTTTAAGAGCAAGGTCGTCAGCAAAGTCCGCATCAGTGACCTTGACAGCCGGATAGCGACGACTTCTTCTAGGGTGTAGAGTAAACCCAAAGTCCCTACCCTCTAAGGACAGTGGACACTCTCATAATGTAGTCAATTACGATTATGAATAGGTAGGGCGCCAAAGTGTCTCCCTGCATCACTCCTGCTAGAATGAAGAATGCTTCACTCAGACCATCCTCGGTAATCACACGAGCAAATGTATCTGCATACATTCTTTGTATCAAGCCTACAATCTCCTTAGGAATTCCATATGCCAGGAGGATCTTCATGAGGAGTCCACGGTGCACGCTGTCGAATGCCTTTTTGAAATCAATGAAGAGCATTACCGCGGTCAGATTATTATATAAAGCGAGACGATATATTTTAATACTTTCAATACTTTCAATACTTTCAACACTACTATATAACAAATAATTTGAGGAAACGATGTAACAGAGTCGATCTATTTTAATGTTGCCATGGGGTGGTAAGTCCCCATACATCGTGGTCCGGTAGTTTTATTGCGTCCTAATATATGGGGGGTTCCGTACCATTTTACTGACACCACGGCATCAACTTTAACGCGACTTTCCGCAAAAACCGTAAAAGATATACAACTGAAACTTTTTTGACTGGGTCAAATGCTTTAATGGCCTCCAAATCAGCATGAAAAAATAAAAAATTGACCAAGAAATAGGAGTTTTAGATCCCAAAATTTGGACCCCCAAGTGGTGTCAAAACCGCGAATTAAATAGGTAATAATTATTTTAGTCTCTTGAGTCATGACACCATTTTAGGGTTATACGGGTTCCTGCTAGTTACTATAATGCTAGAGGTAATGGAAATATTTACTTCCAGGGACTTGGAGCAAGAACGCTGGTAAATATCTGAGCGGCTACAGCGTAGGAACCGCCAAATACGACAGTCTTCTGAAGGCTCAGAGCGAATGTCTCATACGATCCGGTCAGTTCAAACTTGCAGTTAATTTGATGATAAATTAGAAAGTTTATTGGTTATCTTGAAATTGAATACACAAAAGATATACAAAATCTCTGGTAAAATATTAATTCACCTTAAATGCCACCTTCTCCTACCAGACTGTGGAGGTATCACATACGAGACCCTATCCAAAAAGTTCACTCTGCGAAGAGGAGTCAACCTCAAGGACAGTCCCTCCAGTGAAATCTCCTGGATGGCTATCTCAAGCGAAGGTAACCAATTATTTTTGGCGCTACATATACTAGCTATCGATAGGTAATACTAGTGAGCGCTAGTGAACATAATAGCTTGGGGTCCCCATGTAAGCGAGTCCTTCCTATCTCTGGACTCTGTCTAATTCGCTTTTATTGTCATAAACGTTGTTATTGGATGAGATTTTCTCGGCTTCTAAAGAGCTTAACAACCACTTCTTTATTATCATTAGATAGTGACTATTATCAAGTAAACAAATCCAAACTGTCAAAGTCACGTGAGTCCTCCCGTTCAGTGGCGTAACGTTACCTGTTACCCCCCCCCCCACTGCTCCCGTTCAGTGGCGTAACGTTACCTGTTACCCCCCCCCCCCCACTGCTCCCGTTCAGTGGCGTAACGTTACCTGTTACCCCCCCCCCCCCCCCACTGCTCCCGTTCAGTGGCGTAACGTTACCTGTTACCCCCCCCCCACTGCTCCCGTTCAGTGGCGTAACGTTACCTGTTACCCCCCCCCCCCCCCACTGCTCCCGTTCAGTGGCGTAACGTTACCTGTTACCCCCCCCCCCCCCCCCCCACTGCTCCCGTTCAGTGGCGTAACGTTACCTGTTACCCCCCCCCCCCACTGCTCCCGTTCAGTGGCGTAACGTTACCTGTTACCCCCCCCCCCCCCCCCCCCCACTGCTCCCGTTCAGTGGCGTAACGTTACCTGTTACCCCCCCCCCCCCCCCCCCACTGCTCCCGTTCAGTGGCGTAACGTTACCTGTTACCCCCCCCCCCCCCCCCCCCCCACCCCCACTGCTCCCGTTCAGTGGCGTAACGTTACCCCCCCCCCCCCCCCCGTAACGTTACCTGTTACCCCCCCCCCCCCCCCCCCCCCCCCCCCCCCCCCCACTGCTCCCGTTTCTTTTCCTGTATCTGGTTAACTTCAAACAGCTTAAAAATCCTTACTGGGCGGCGCTCAGCCTGTCATTCCGCCGAATCTTTATTCGGGCTGAGTGAATTACGACCTCCATCGCCCTGAAAAAAAGTGCGAATGCTCATTGGATGTTAAAGCGCAAGTGACTAGCATTCAGGTGATCGTTCAGAACCAATTACACCTTACTGGGCGGCGCTCAGCCTGTCATTCCGCCGAATCTTTATTTATGTTTATGAACATAATAGCCTGGGGTCCCCAAGTAAAAAATCCCTCCGATCGTGAGATATATATATATGAGTAGGTAGTGCGCCATCGACAGTGAGCCGCGCGTGCCGACTGTAGGATGGTTTTTTAGCGCTTATTTCGGCCAGCACAATTTTCTTCAAACAAATAGATATTAAGTATCTTTCCCGACCTCTGATTGCAACAAAAATTGGTAAGCTTACTCATAGACTTACAAGGAAAGTGTCCGAAAAGTTTAAAGCATATCCAACCATCAGACATTATGTTACAGCTAAAAGCAGCGTATTTTGCCCCATTTTGATCACTATATCAACTCCGATATCCACCAAATTTTTCGGACAGTTGTGAAAGCCCTATCGGAAGGTCGTCGCCAATTTTCAGAATGATCTCATTCAAGGAACTGAAGATATATCCAAATAATACGACAAAAATCAACGAATTTGGTCAAATTTGGTCATATTACGCGACTTTCACAGCTAATTTTGCTCCAAAAGCCGCGCACCATCAAATATGGCACCTAGGCGAAACTCACTGATCTTTCCAAAAAGGTATGACAAATTTGGTATTGTGAAAATTCTCACAGTCTCTAGAAAACAATGGTACAAAAATTTTTAAAATCCGAGCAAGTTTATTTTTATGGTGCACCCCCTAATATGAGTCATGAGTATGACAAGTTTGTCATTGTCATAAAGTCAAATTAACCTATCAAATAAACAGGCTCGAACATTTGACCGTCAAATTGTCTTAAAGTTAAACAAATCTTAATTAATAAATAAAAACTTAGACCAACTTCCTTATGTTATGTAGTCAAGTAATGTGATCAAACAGATTTTCGCCGATATCTCGCGGCCAGGGGAGCATATTAACCCTATGTAATCTTATCTAGGGTGATTCGGTATCACCGTTCAAAAATACGTACAAAATTTGGTGATATTATTTATATTTAATGTAAAACTACTGTGCCAATTATATACCAGAGTAACTTGTACTTCGCCGCAATAATGTCACCTTTAGATTTGCCGCTGTGGCGGCACTTTAAAGTTTTGAAAATACCCAATCCCACATCCACATATAATATACTCGAGATATACAGCTTTAAATATTTGTTTTCTTTTTATTGTAGCTGCTTTCTGTGTTGGAGAATATTTCATTTAGTCGACTATTAACAGCTTACCTAGTAGGATCCCTATTTCCAATTAAGGAAAACAGTACAAGTACATGGAACTGGGCTCATGATGGTATAACTAATAACGGGGTCCTTGAGTTGCTTGGTGACGGGGCTGTAAAGTGGAACAATGGTGACAGACAGGGTAGTTGGGGACTCAGAGACAATGGCACAATCCTGGGTACCACCTTTAACCGTCGTTATCATGAGCTGAGGTACGAAGATGGGATAGCGACCCTGGTAATCCCCAAGAGATCCCCTCCCAGTACTATGACACTGATATCAGTTATAACAGGTATTCATCAAATATTTTCCACCCTGTAGTAAAATTTAAGCATTTTAGTTTTACCAGATTACAGTATAACATGAAGTAACAGGTATTGTGATTCACTCACATGTCACAGCCACAAGGTTCGGTTTAGTAAATTTGACCAAAACCCATAATCATGGGTAGAGTTGAGAGTGGACCGCTGCCAGTGTCTCTCTTTTCCAAACAAAAGGAAATGATATTAATTTGAACCGTCCGCAATTAATGCAAATTGATATCGATAATGAAATTGGTCGCTCGCTTTTCCCTTGTAGCGCGATGCACTATTGGGTCGCGCGCTCATCAAATAATGCTTCTCGCAACCACAGATCGGCGAGATGCGAAGGATTGACATCGTGAATCAAGCTTTTCCCATTCATTCACGACTTACGAATTGTAAATCAATTTTCTTTATAAATAATTGATAATACCCTAATATCTTTTCAGGTGTAGAGGTCGGGCCGAAACTGTAATCAGACACTAAAGAGAACCAATTATTCTACAACTTCAATGATGAATAAAGATCTCTGAATCCTGATTGCTATTAATTATGCAAATTTTAACCAATTTTGTTCATTATTTCAGAATATTATTTAGTAGACAAATTACTTTCGAACTGTGTCCATATTATTTATTCAAATCTAAAACAAAAAAAATTATTTGACTTCAAAATTTTTCAATCTGTATAAGAGCTAATTATGACGAAGGGAGGTCACAAAGCTTCGTGCCGGGGTGTTTATGTAAATTCTAAACCCTAACCCTAACAGTAACCCCGAAGCCATCCCATATCCATAACCTTAATCACAACCCTAACCGGGTTAGAATTAGGGTAACCCTTTGTTACCCTTATATACCATGACCCTTATAGTCATGGTATGTTGACGCGTAGCAGGGTATTTTAGTTTAAGACTTTAAATTAGAATCGCAAAATTAGCCGTATTATTCCTCCAAACTTACGACTTAGATGGACTGAGATTAGCCCTTAAAATACAGCTTACACTTTTTACCTTATGATTGGGTCGTTATTCTAAAAAAATTTGTCAAGAAGTGTGGCTCACCGGTCACTTAACGTCACTTGTAGCGACCAAGGTCTGCGACTGGCTGCAACAGGTGCATATGATCTGTGACACGAGATATCCTTGTGTTTGGCTTGTACTAACTCTAATTGGGTATTTCGTCACAAGTCATGCGACTCGATATACATAAAACCAATACTAGGGTGGATGGTTTTTTTTTACGTTTTTATGGAATTGGTACCGTTGTAAAGCTTACATTATGACAGTTCAGATGGCGAAATTTTTATCGAAAATGGACCTGACATTGTTTTGGAAATAACAATAATATCAAATGAGTTTACAATAATATCCATGACCAATTTAACCATACTTAAGCTTTTTGACTACTCCTACAAGATTAGCCTTGCTAAAAGTCGCCTGAAAAAGGCACTTCTAAAGCTGCAACATGCTTATAATGATTCAGCATGGACTTCAAGCGATTATGACATAATGCAGCTGTCATTTGAAAACAATCCCCTTCAACAAATGTAATCCAGTGTTCTCACTTCTCGGCCCACAGGTTCCTCCTATTAAAAAATTTTTGATTTTGGTAAATGTGTGCTGACTCCACCACCTATGTATTTAACCTAATATTTAGTGTATTACAGGTAGACATTGACTTAGGTAGGTATTTTTCTCTTAAGGTAGATATTAAGAATTTGGTAAATTTCCTAATTGTATGACTATTTCCATTATTGAGACGTTTTAAATATTTGATTTAAGAGGTTTTTTTTTATAGGACTGGTTCACAGTGCGAACAGATTCCAGATTTATATATTTTTTAAGTGATATTTAATAAATGATTAAAAGAACCAATTTTAAAGTTGCCATAGTAAAGCCTTTAGGTCCAAAAATATACCCATTATGCTCACGTAAAAACAACTCTAAATCAGTAGGCTGTCACTCTATTAATGCACCACACCGCTTCCTCCACTGCACTAAAAGTTATACAATAAATTCTTCAATCCTAATTTTGTATCGTGATGGAGACCGGTGTCCATACAAACATTTTACTAGGTTGCCGTTTGGTGTGAGCAATAGCGAACAGCACGAACACTCCTTTGCCCCGTCAACCTATATCTAATCTATTTAAAGAGTGACAACCATACTACACATTGAATTAGGATTCCTTTAAATATCAAATTGATTTATTGTAAACTTGTTTACTCTGTAATAAATGGCATAAAATTGAATTTTTGTTTAACTGAATTTTTTCCCGATCCATGACTCAAAAGTGCCGAAGGCACAAAAGAGTCAAGGACAAGGGTTAGCGATCGAGGTTTTTTTTGTATATGGTAGCTTTGCGACCGTGCCTGCGTGCGAGTGTGCGTGCGTGCGTACGTGCCTGCGCGCGTTGTTGTCGCTGGTGGCAATATTTGCTTTGTATCCTACTAAGTGTAAAATGCGCTCCCCATGGTTACATAATTCAGCTATAAATGCGACCGGGACACGGAACTAACTCTTTTCCCTCGATATTTTCACACAAACGTTATAAATTACATTTTGATTAAAGATATGAGATTCAAGTTATTGCTAATTGCTATTCTCGCCTTTTCTTATGATTTTGGACCTGGCCCTGGCAATTTAATAGAAAATGAATGTTATCATGATTTAACTATTGTGTGGTCCTGTGTGGTTGATTTTGTTATGGCTGTTTTAACCCCCCTCGCTCAATTATCCGCTGGAGTGATTACAAACATTCACTGTTATGTTAATAGCATACAGTATATTTGGTTACTGTTTCTACATCACTCCGTGTATTTCTCTCACAACGGGGGTGGTGTTTGTAAAGGTTTCAGATTTAGGAGGCTGTTCTTCGTGTCAAACAGGTTGAGTGCGGTGTTAGTCACATCCGTACTCTTGTCGGCTGCTTTCGTGGACATCCGCATGCTCTCTACTACAGGTGATGAATTTCACAATTTTATCTAGGCAACGGTATAAATAAAACACGTCATAATTTATAAAGGAATAATATTATTAAACACTTTTATTAAATTTTATTTACAAACACTTATCAATATCATACTAATATTTAACTAGGGTTTTATAAATTGATAATAATACTGTTTCTCTCCTAGGTTTAACGCTCTTTGAGTGTGATACCTGGATTGTATTGTGCACACCCCAGGAATTGTTTATTGTTCGCAATTCAATTCTGCCACAATGCAATCTGTGGTCAGGTGTGTGCAGTCTGCTGTTGTTGCTCTCTGGAGATATTGAGTTAAATCCAGGACCAACCACATCATTTGTGCAAACTAATGATAGAACCGTGTTTACTGACAAGAAGGTTAATTTCTTTATAATCTTCTGTGCTCCTTTATTTCAAGTATTCGCTTTCAATGCAATTGTTAACAATTCCATTTAAGATGTTTAATTAACCCCAAATTTGATAGATGCACTTATCACTAATATTCCCTATTTATCAGGTCGTTGTTATTGGAGATTCGATACCAAAGTATGTAGGGGATAGTACCAATGAAACAGAGAAAGAAAGGTTTGTGGATTCATACAAAAGTTTAGAAGTCCTTGCATGTCGAGGCAAGGCCATCTCGCAGATTACTGACTGTGTGTACAATCTCAGACGGGCAGTTGTAGATTTACAGGCTGATATCGTTTACGTTTTGCTGGGCACCAATAACATCTGTGGTCGCTCAGCTTGTAATCAACAACAGTTTGCAGCTGCTTTCAATGAATTCATTGATGCTGTTAACAATAAATTCAAACGTGCTCATGTTATTGTCAATGTCATAATACCTAGACTTGATATTAGCCCTACCTTAATGGACAAGTTAGCTGCTTTCAATAAGGAAATACATGGTCTTTCGTTTAGGCGTGGATGTACTGTAATTTCATCCCCCTGGGACAAAACTAGAACAGATCCTAGGGTCTATCTGGCTAAGGATAACCTGCACCTTAGCTATCGTGGCAATGTCATGTTGAAGAAAATCGTGAAAGCAAATATTCACGCTTACTCACATGGCATCTCCTCATTGCCACATGATCTACTCTGCTATGTCGAGGATAGTTTCCAACCAACGGTTATGCCCCTTTCTTCTTTTCCCAATTATGTAAACAATTCCTGGGACTCGGCTTACACGGGGTCATCTAAACCTCCACCAGACCCTGCACCTGCTCCTATTGCTTCATTAACTATTCAACCTGTCACTGATTCTCAGGAGGAAGCGTCCCATTCACAGTACTTTCCTCAACCCGTCCAAGTCCAACTTAGGACATACGCTTCTGTAACATCTCACAGTTTATCTGTTGATCGGACCACTCGCCATTACCATCTCAATTCAGATACTACCGTTGCTCAATCTACTCGAAGTCCTCTTCCATCTGTGGGTTCTCATACATCCATACCAGTCACTGTACCACTAACAGCTCATCAATACGATGATTCCACTCATTTGACCACTAATCCTGCTGTTTCGGCATCTGCATCGGCAACTGCTTCTGCGGCTATAGCTGTTATTCGAACATCTACTCTACCAGCTGCCGCTCAACCTATTCTGGCTCCTGCTACATCTGCTTCACCTACCACTGCATCAGCTCCTTCTCCTGCAGACCCTCCTTGTGCTCCACTTGCCCTCCGACTTGATTCTGCTCCATCACTTCTTGAACCAGCTCCAACTACTCCTATCCCTAATCCTGTTCCTGCTACCCCTTCATCACTTCCTGATCCAACTGCCCAACCAGATGCTACCAATGCTCCTCCATCTGCTTCAACTGACCCTATTGCATCTACGTCATCAATTTTGTCCAAGTGCCCAGATTGGCTTAGTAAAAGGTTAAGTTATTACAAGAATTTCCTATCTGCCCGTATTGTACAGGAGGTTGAGAAACTGCTTCTAGCAAAGGTTGCACAGGGTATGTTTGTTAGACAGGGCATCAATTCTTCAAAGGTCCTTCTTTTCGGTGAGCATAAATATATTTATAACAGGGCCACTATGCATCTTAGTCCTATCCCTATTCGATCCTATCCTATACTGCAAACAGTTTTGTTCATGGTCAATATTAAGCTTTCATCCAACTTCAACAGCATATTGGTTAATTTTTACGAGGACCCCTCTATTATCTTACCTTATCACAAGGATGATGAGCGGCACTTGGACAAGTCTGCAAAAATTGCAACGCTCTCAATTGGGGCTACACGTAATATGGATTTTGCTGCGTGTAAAAAGGAGCGCCCCTCATATAGTCAGCAGCTTCTCTCCAATTCTTTATTTGTCATGCATCCTGAGACACAGGTATCTTTTTTTCATCGTATTGCGCCCGGTAGTTTCTCTTGTCATTCCCTTGGCTACCGTTTCAGTCTCACATTCAGAACGCTCAAGCCAAGATCTACTTCACATCCCAGCACCCTTGATAAGAATGAAGGGGTGTCGTCTACATTTACTCCTTTACCTAATCCTATTCCTGCTACCCCTTCATCACTTCCTGCTCCAACTGCCCAACCAGATGCTACCAATGCTCCTCCATCTGCTCTGGCTCCTGCTACATCTGCTTCACCTATCACTGCATCAGCTCCTTCTCCTGCAGACCCTCCTTGTGCTCCACTTGCCCTCCGACCTGATTCTGCTCCATCACTTCTTGAAGCAGCTACATTTACTCCTATACCTAACCCTGTTCCTGCTACCCCTTCATCACTTCCTGATCCAACTGCCCAACCAGATGCTACCAATGCTCCTCCATCTGCTCTGGCTCCTGCTACATCTGCTTCACCTACCACTGCATCAGCTCCTTCTCCTGCAGACCCTCCTTGTGCTCCACTTGCCCTCCGACCTGATTCTGCTCCATCACTTCTTGAACCAGCTCCAACTACTCCTATCCCTAATCCTGTTCCTGCTACCCCTTCATCACTTCCTGATCCAACTGCCCAACCAGATGCTACCAATGCTCCTCCATCTGCTCTGGCTCCTGCTACATCTGCTTCACCTACCACTGCATCAGCTCCTTCTCCTGCAGACCCTCCTTGTGCTCCACTTGCCCTCCGACCTGATTCTGCTCCATCACTTCTTGAAGCAGCTACATTTACTCCTATACCTAACCCTGTTCTTGCTACCCCTTCATCATTTCCTGCTCCAACTGCCCGACCAGATCCACCATCACAAGAATCTTTGCAACCAGCGTATATCAAGCTACTTCTTTCATCATCCGGTGAATTTACACCACCAGCAGTTGTACACAGTCCGCAACCTTGCCATAACATAATGTTATTTTTGTCAGCCCACCAACAGCCTGCACAGCTGGCCCACTCTCTCACTTCAACAGCTTCTCCCCTTCTCTCTCCGCAGATAAATCAGACAGTTCAATTGTCACCTATCTCTTTAAAGTCGCCTATCCCCTCAGACACACTTCCATCGTCATCACCTCATTCTTCTTCACGTATGCAAATTCAGTCCACATTACCTAACACTTTTTCATTAATACCGTTGTCGATGCAATTTCAAAATAATACGAATTTATATTTGGTTCAACATCCCTACAAGTCCCCATACTTATCATATAACAGAAATATTATGCTATCTCTAGCATTATCAACATACCAGCAGCCGACACAGCTGGCCTTCTCGAACACTTTAAGCAGTGATTATCTTTTCTTGAAGGAACACGGTTCGGTTCAATCACTACCTTTACCTCCTGCCACTGAATTACATAGTTGTTGTAATTCATATGAGCAATTGGGTGGTGGGACTAAAAATGAATTTATTGATAATGAAGCTGCCCACTCCTCTGACGATACCCTAGGCATTGACAGTGATACATCTGACTGCATCTTCGACGACTTTATCGACGACACCCCTATCTCACAAGAGCATGTTCCCTTTTTTGACCCGTACAATGACACTCAGACAGACGAGTCAAAACATAGAAGGCTCAATCTTACAGAGGAGAACAAACAGAAGGAGAGAGATAGACAGAAACAGAGAAGACTGAATAAGACGCTGACAGAGGAAGAAAAACAAAAGAAAAGAGACAAGGCCAAACAGGATAGACTGAACAAGACGCTGACAGAGGAAGAAAAACAAAAGAAAAGAGACAAGGCCAAACAGGATAGACTGAACAAGACGCTGACAGAGGAAGAAAAACAAAAGAAAAGAGACAAGGCCAAACAGGATAGACTGAACAAGACGCTGACAGAGGAAGAAAAACAAAAGAAAAGAGACAAGGCCAAACAGGATAGACTGAACAAGACGCTAACAGAGGAAGAAAAACAAAAGAAAAGAGACAAGGACAAACAGGACAGACTGAACAAGACGCTGACAGAGGAGGAAAAACAAAAGAAAAGAGACAAGGCCAAACAGGATAGACTGAACAAGACGCTGACAGAGGAAGATAAACAAAAGAAAAGAGACAAGGCCAAACAGGATAGACTGAACAAGACGCTGACAGAGGAGGAAAAACAAAAGAAAAGAGACAAGAACAAACAGGATAGACTGAACAAGACGCTGACAGAGGAGGAAAAACAAAAGAAAAGGGACAAGGCTAAACAGTACAGACTGAATATGACAGAGGAAGACAAACAGAAAGAGAGGGATAGACTAAAGCAAGCTCGTATTCGACGGAAGCTAACTAAAACGGAGGGGTTGCATAACATATCAGTTGAAACCATCACACAGACAATATTTTCACCCCTCTCATCTACTCAGACTTACACCTCACCCCATGACTCAACTAAAACAAGCAATTATGACAGACAAAAACATTCTCAGTCACCACCGCGACCGTACAAATTGTTTACTTCCCCATTACCAAATTCTGACAGAGCCACAACTCCTACAACATCACTGCCCTCTCCCAGACTTACACAGTCTGCAGAATCTACTAACGAAGCCCCAGATGGTCATGACAAACCCGATTTTGAAGTTATTTCAGCCTTCCGTAGTATTATGAAAGAATATCCTGAATATGAATGTGCTAATTGCAATACTTTAAATTTTCGTCAAAATGTTGTCAAATTTGACAGAACATCTGCCAAATCTGGGAAACAGCAAACTTGGATTTGCAAACGGTGTAACAGTTATCGCAAGTCTAACAAAATTTGTCCACTGGCTACTATACCCATGAAACTCGAAACTGGTTCATTACCAGACAATCTTGTCATGAATCCAACAGAGACCCGCCTTGTAGCAATGCGTATCCAGTTTATGAAGATACGGTCTTTACCTGCTGGTGGCCAACGTGGTATTAGGGGCGCGGTTGTTAATGTCCCGATTGATGCCCAGGAAAGTTGTCTAAAACTCCCTCGGAATATTCCCGATCTTGGAGTTCTTAAGGTTAAAATTAAGCGTGATGTAAGCCACAAAACTGTTGTTTTAGTTGATGATGTGGACCCTAAGAAATGCATTAATGTCTTAATATGGTTAAAAAAGCATAACCCACTGTATACTTTCACTGTACTGAATGACGATTGGATTAAAGGCAAATACAATGACCACCAAGACTTCTTTAACGTACATTTTGCAGACAATGCTCATGTTATCGCTTCATCGCTGGTTGACGAAATTGTAGCAAACATATGTAATGAGGGTACATACGACCAACTGCCCTATGAGCATTGTATTCAATATAAGGATCCTCTGCAAAATTTTATCCACGAAGTTCCAGTTATGGACTTTGCACCAGGACAAGGGAAGACACCGATACCTGCCTTATCTGACTCATTAGCAGAGCCTTTATCATTTCCGAACCTGTTTCCCCTGGGGAAAGGCCATTTTCATGACTCAGATAGGCAAGCCTTGATTGCCAGCAAACTTATCCCAAAGTTAAGTAGAAAACAATATGCTAAACATCACCTTTACTCTGCAGATAGAAAATTTGCCATGGATCCTGAGTACATATTTTTCACGCAAGCATGTGTCGAACGTGAATCAATCTACAATGCTGCATCAATACACCTTCAAAAGTCACGCAAAATCAGCACAGATGGTATTAGGTTGACAGCCGGTCTTTTTACTAATAAACTCATAAGCACAGAACAATTATTGAATAATATTGATGCATTTCGTTACATGAAAGACGTTAAGGGCACACCTGCATTCTGGCAGAGGGTAAAAAGCGATGCGTTGGGCATGGTTAGTCAATTGGGTACCTTCACGTGGTTCTTAACTTTTAGTTTCAATGACTTGGTTTATTCGATTCCAGCCATATTGACTTTGATGGGGATAGAACCTTCCGATCAATTACTAACGGACATTTCGTGGCATCGCAAACATGAGCTCTTGCGTACTGATCCGGTTATAGCAGTTCGCATGTTTGATAGATATATTCGTAAAATAATATCGTTCCTTCTCGAGAAAAAACAAATTCTTGGCGCAACCGAGGCTTATACAGGCCGTGATGAATTTGGTGACAGGGGCTCTCCACATTTTCACATGATGTTAAAGTGTATTGGAGCACCTATAGTTGGGGTGGATTCTATTGAAACTATAATAAAGTATATAGACAAATACATCACTACTAAAAAACCTACCCCAGAGGAGGATCCTGTGCTTAGTGCTTTGGTAAAACTCCAAACACATTCTCATACAAAAACTTGCAGAAAAGGTGTTGCTGAAGATGCTTGCAGATTCTTCTTTCCGAGGCCAATTTCCAGAAGAACTATCATTGTAGATGCTGACGGAAAAGAGATGACCAATGCTGACCTACACAATATATCAGCAGACAGGAACAAAGGCCGAAAAAGTCGTGTCATCTATATTAGGCAAATCGGTGCGGAGCTTATAAATCCGTACAATGAAACGTTGCTTCGTTGCTTGGAATCTAACATTGATGTTCAGTATATTGTGGGGATGTGGGACATGGTCAATTATTTAGTTAATTATGCGACAAAAACTGAGAAGGACGTTTGCGATGCCATGAAAGACGTCAAAAATAATATTATGCATGATGAAAACAAGAATGCTCGAGACAAATTAAAATCACTAGGAAATGTTTTCATTGACGCAAGGTCTGTTTCCATACAAGAGTCTGTATTCCGAACAACTGACCTACCCATGAAATTCTCGTATCCTAAGGTGATTTTTGTGCCATCAGACATGCCTGATCAACGCCATGGTATGTTAAAGTTCCGTCGTGACATGGAAAATATGCCTGAAGACTCTGATGACATATTTATGAAAGGGTACATTGATCGTTATCCACAGAGGCCTGATTCTTTGAAGGAAATGTGCTACAAAGAATTCGCTGTAAATTATGAAAAATGTTGTAATATTACGAAATCTAATGTTGACCGAACTATTCAGTTGAAGGACGCAACATTGGGAACAATGATTAAAAGGACTGGTCCTCAAATTGTTCGTAGTCACACACCATCTAGAAAAACAGATCCGGAGAAATACTACTATAGCAAGATTTGTTTATACTTTCCTTGGACTGATGAGGCACAAATATTGGGGAATTATACTACAGTTGAGGAGTCATTTGTTGCAAAATACGACGTCATAAAATTAAACATGCAAAAATTTGAACACATTGATGAGGCAACCCTTGATTCTATGATAAGTGAAATTACCGAAGATATTTTAAATTCGCACGTGCCCATTAATGTTCACGATGACAAACTTGATCCGCGTGGTCTCGCAAGCCATCCACCAAACAATTTGAAACGTGAAGAGGATACTGAAAACTTCAAGTTCACTTACGAGGAGCCACCAATTACCGAACAAGAATACAACAGTATGGTCAGCTCTCTCAATGAAAAGCAACGTGACATATTTTCTATGATTCAGACTCATGCTCAGAACGCGAACGATGGTAAGAAAGTAAACCAACTTATACACTTCATAAGTGGAGCTGGTGGTGTTGGTAAATCATTCCTCATTACAGCTATAAGGCACTGTATAAACCGCACGTTCAAAAGAGGCTCCCACAACTCTGCTGTTTTGGTTTCCGCCAGCACTGGTGTTGCTGCCGCCCTCATAGATGGACAAACCGTTCACAAGTTACTTCAACTTGATTGCCAAGAGGGTGGTTTTTTTAATCAAAAGTCTTTAAATTCTGCAAAAAGAGACAAAATGTTCAACTCCATCTTTAAGCATGTTAGGTACCTCATCATTGACGAAGTATCTATGATAGGCAATACAAATTTAAATCAAATTCACAGCAGATTAAATCAATTATTCGGGATGTCCGGCACCAAAGACTATTTTGGCGGAATAAACATCATTTTTGTAGGAGATCTCTTCCAAATTCCACCCGTGCAACAAACTAAAATATTCGATCCGAGGGGCCTTGCAGCACTTGGTGTCAATTTTTGGAAAGATTTCTGTACCTTTTCTGAGCTGACTGACGTAGTTAGGAGCAAAGGGGACGCGCCCTTTACTGAACTTTGTCATCGGCTAAGGACTGGGCAGCATACCGAGAAAGATGTTAGTTTACTACAGTCAAGAGTGATACCACAATTACCAAACGTAAGTCAACTCATGGACAGTATGCTTCTATTCTCTACAAATGCAAAATGTTCTGAGCATAACAAAAAGTGTGTTGACCACCTTACAGCTACCACCAAAGTTCATAACATTATGGCCCATGATAAGTTCTCTAATGAGCAGTTTAACAATAGCAATCAGACTGACAAACGTGACAAAAAAAACATCAAAGACTATGTTACTGACGACATAAACAAGACCGCTGGACTGCCAACCTCAATTATTTTAGGGCTTGGGGCACGTGTAATGGTCCGTGCAAATATCAACGTGAATGATAAATTATGTAACGGTGTTTGCGGAACTGTGAAGCACATTAAATTCAAAAATACCCCAGACACGTCTAACAGCAACAATGTGTCTGTGAAAGTTATAGACAAGGTATATGTTAAATTTGATATGGAAAAAGTTGGTAGAAAAATAATGCATTTGTGCAACAAATTTTGCCATCAAAATTGTACACTAGCAGGTACAGTGCCGATCAGTCCTGTAGAAAAACAGTTCAAGTGCAAAAAGGTTAAGAAAACAAATGTATGGCTAAAAAGGTACCAGCTACCACTAACATTGTGCTGGGCCTCAACTATCCATAAATGTCAAGGAGTCACCTTGCAAAATGCATACATAGACCTCTCTGGCATAAACTGGAAGGCGGGCATGGCCTACACAGCTATATCACGGCTCACTTCGATGGCAGGTTTGTTTCTCATCTCCTTCGATAAAAGGTGCATAAGAACAGACCCTCAAATAGTAAGAGAATATAAACGTCTTCGATCCTTGCCTCCTTTCCAGTTAAATGATGCAACAAGTGACATCATTAAATCTCCTATTATTCAACCGAGTGAAAGTCCACAGAGTGAAAGCTCCCTTGCAAGCACTCGATTATCTTCACAGAAATTACGAACCCCACCAAGCCCTTCAAGTAGGCCTCTTTCCAAAAAACAACGAGTTGAAAGCCCTACACTACCAAACAGTAAACGGCCTTCACCAGCATCTCCCATCATTAACGGTAACCGCAAGTGTCCTCGGTTATCTTCACCTGCAATGGCTACACCAAATTCGCAATTTAACAGCCTATTGTCAAAGGGTAAGGCCTACGTCATAGACTTCAACGATGACCCGCAATCCAGCCGTTTTGCCACACAGTTGGTCACACTGGGTTTTAATGTCCGGAGGACAATAAATCGCTTCCAGGAAGGTGTCAGCTGTGGCTACATAGCGGCGCGGGTTATTGCTAAATTGAATGCGGCTACTATTTCAAACGTCAACTGTTTCGATATTGATGTATTCGATTGCAATTACAATGGCAGAAACAGTGCTGAACTAGACATGGTAGCGGTGGCAAATATCCATCTGGGGTTGCCTGGTTCCAAGCCTCATTTTTTGTATGCTTCACAATGCCTTACTTTGATTACTTTTTACTCCATGCTCTATTATAACAAGTCTATAGCAACCTTAAATTTCAATGAACTCAATATAGAGCAACCGTTGAGTAAGACTAGCTTCACACATAAACTCAATCAAATTGTCGTACAAGACAAGGCAATTCCACCAACATTTTTTACAGTTAATGCATCGGACCAGCAAGGGACACACTGGTTTGTGGTAGTTATTGAAATACCTTTAGATTCGCAGAATGAGCAGTAGGCCTATATTATCGTCATTCCCAGAGAAGAAGTTTATAACAAAAGCAGTAGTATACAGTTGGACATGAAATCTTTATACACACTAATTAAGATACTTCATTACCCTAATCTTATCCAAGCCATTCAATAGTAGCATTACAATTCTGGTATACTCTGCTGAATATTATTGAGATAATTATACTTATACATCATTTATCATAATATATTAACTTGTAATACAGTAGGCTGGGATTATACACACAGTCAGTAATCTGCCCTATGTAGGTCAGCATATCGTGCAAAAAGATCACCAAGTCGAATATTACCTGATAAAAGTGAACTAAGGTTGTGTTAGACATTTTGTCCCTACATGGGCTCCCGGCCGTGCGTCCATGTAGGAACTGTGGGGCCTTCCGAGTGATAGGGTTACAGTGACTGTTAGTAGCGAAAGTATGAAAGTTATACCAGTAGACACAATTACCGAACACAGGGCATTGGCTCGACCTCCAAGACAGGGTATCCGTGAGGACCCTGGTCGTAATCAGCTCTGCACTACTCCAGTGTATCCTGATGCCTGAAATCTTGGACACTGTCTACGTACGGGGTAGACGGCCACAGACGATTGCCTCTATTGCTACCTTAGTTCACTTTTTGATTACAGCCAAATATTCAAAGTTGAGATGATCTACATTTTTGACACATACCTTGTATTATCAATTCTTCCCGGTATTCAAGCTTAATCTGAACAAACTTAAACACCTCTAGCAATAATTTTTTTTGGTCATATTTGGTGTTTGATCTTTAGATATAAGTTTACAACAGACTTGTCTTTTACGACATCTTTTCAAGCATATTTTTCCACCCATTATCAACTATTTAAGTGAATTTCTGGTATGTTTAGATAAAACATCGCTGATTATAAGTTCACCGTAATAGTTGTATTATTACACTACAATTTATTACTAATCTTATTTAAATCATTCAGTGTGATTTGTATATTTGTATCTTTACATATAAGTTTACTACAGACTACTATTTTACGATGTCTTTTCAAGCATATTTTTCCAGAAATTACCTACTATTCAAGTAAATTTCTGGTATGTTCAGATAAAACATCGCTGATTATAATTCATACCGTAATAGTTCTATTATTACACTATAATTTATTACTAATCTTATTTAAATCCTTCAGCATGATTTGTATTAATTGTATATTTGTATCTTTAGATATAAGTTCACTACAGACTACTATTTTGCGATGTCTTTTCAAGCATATTTTTCCAGAAATTACCTACTATTCAAGTAAATTTCTGGTATGTTCAGATAAAACATCGCTCATTATAAGTCATACCGTAATAGTTGTATTATTACACTATAATTTATTACTAATCTTATTATCATCACCATGATTTGTATTTTTTGTATATTTGTATCAATAACTGTAGATTAGATGTATTATAAGGATGCAGGTGGAGGACGTCCGATTGTGCTACCCGTGGGCACAACTCGTGTAATCCGGTAACAATAGAGATCTTCTTTGACTTCTGTTGGCAAACACTCCACATATAGGTAAGTTCAGGTAAGTTCAGGTAAGTATGACCTAATTCCTATATTTAGATGACTTCTGCAGTGGACTATATACAATACTGATGCTCGTAACAGCCACAAATGTTACCATACTATCACCTAATGTCAATATCTAAAGATAAATACTGATATGATGATATTCTTTACTTTCCTCTCACATTCTAATTCACATTATATTGTAACAACTTCAGTCCAACATTCCAATCTAGGTTAGTTTATCTCCACATACTTCGATATATTTTAAAACTTACTCACTAATATACAATAATGAGATATACCCAGTTCAGCTAGTGTGTTCTGCACTTCCACAACATTTTCCAACGTTTGCTCCTCTAAACAAGTACGCTGTCCTCTATCATTGAATGTTCACTTCGTTGCCCAAGATTGAATCAACATTCTGCAGAGTATGTAAAGCACATCTTCCAACGGTAATGAAACCTGATTTGGAAAATTTGATATTAATTTACAAATAAATCTGCAAACCACTTCCATCTAAAAATTTCACCACATGCACATGGCATAATACCTAACAAAACTCCAAAAATGCCATAATATTAAAGGTATGTACATGATTCAAGATTATCCTCAATACTTACCTCAATGTTTTTCAGTCGCAACAAAACTTTTGATCAGAACCACCAACCATGCCAGCATTTTCATCCACTCCAACAACACCGGTAACTTTATATTACCCTTGTCAGTCCTTAGTTAGATACCAGGTTCAATAAAGCTTTCAAAACTCTCTGAAATTAATATCATAGTAAATACCCTCTCGAGATTATAATTTTGTCATAACAGCTCCACGAAGATACTTCAAAGACATAATGCATATTAAAACTTTACAAACCTCTTTTACAGGTACCATATAGGACGTACTCTTATACTCAGTACACAATCATCATAGGCAATATCTACCACTTATCGAAAGTATCAACCACACTCCACACATATCGGCGATTCGGCATATAGTTCATATCAAGAAATGCTATATCCGGGAATTTCATTAATGTTAAGGTTTGTTCATTAACAAATTATTACAAGAAATAACCGTACTGAAACAATTCCTACAAAATATGTAACAGGTCACTCGTTGTACTTGTGACATCCTACAACAGCCATTTCAAATCACCAATACTTCAGGCACCACAACAAAGTCGGATACAACAGCAACTGAGAAGAAAATTCGAACGACTACAAATCAATAGAAAGTTATAATGTACATGTTTTTTAACAACATCACCAGCTGGTAACACTCATACTACTTCACAACAACATCAGAAAATGGACGATCAGGACAGCTCACACACTCACTTTTCAATTATATAAGGTCACCACCATCAACACTCCAAAACACTGTGCAATGATATTGCACCCACCTTACCTTCAACTCCAGTTTAATGATTTTTCTAACCAGTCCCGCCTTTACCTTTAATAATTATTAACAATAATATGTTGGAATATATTTGTTAATTATGGGGATTTCTGGCATGTACATACAGTTGGTCATGAAAGCCTCAATTTTCTCTCCGCATAATGGCCATAATAGTTATCTTTAATAGTAGAGTCTACATGTATTAAAGATAACTATTATGGTCAATTTGTAGACATATAAATGTTGCTACAAATATCCACACGAGTAACGTTCTATATCTTATTAGCTATATTTTGTTCCTGGTTTACTTACCTTCGCAATTGAACACAATTGCAATATCCTACACCTAACTTTTGTTTAAGCTACATTATTTATGATGAACTGCTTTCATTGGTGCCTGCGTGATTTTCTAATCTAACTTTTCTGCTGGTGACCTATATAATAGTTGATACAATTATGATGACTGTCAAATATTCAGTGTTTATGAACACTAGCAAAAACACCACTTCATCACTTGTCAGTGATTTTCAACTCTATCAACCACCATTTCATCATTCTCCAGTACTGCAGTATTTTCAACACTACATCATTTATCAGTGTTTTTAAACACTAAAAACCAATACTACATCATTTCTCAGTGTTTTTTAACACTACATCATATATCACTGTTTCTCAACACTGGACCAAACAGACCAAGACTGCTACCAATCAGTGCATCAACCACAATATTCAGATAACTCTATCGATGTTCTAATCTGAACACATATACATGAAGCCAACCAACAACTCCTCATTCGTTAAACGCAGTCATCATTCTTGTATCAATAATATCAACCTGCGTCAAGAAACGGTATCGTTGCCTACACTTCGACTCAACTTAGTCTTACAAGATTGACTAATCTCCACTGAAACAGTTCCTCATATTAAATACTAAGCTTTACAAAAAGTACAAACTGATACTCCGTATTAATTGTACACCGCCCAGTTCAAAGTATTTAACCAGATGTGAGGATATTTATAATAACATACATTCAACGGAATGTTCGCGTAAAATAAGTACGGATTTGGCATATTTTACCCCATTGAGGCTCACATGACCAACCTTAATATATGATATTATTTAATGTAAAATAAAGAAACATTATTCACTAATAGAGTTCTCCTCGTTGCACTAACTTTAATATTATGATACATACAAAAATTGTCTCATTGTTTACCAGAATACACCACAAATTCAAATTACCGGCCGGCTGTTTCTAATATATTCTCTAACGCCAAACGGCAACAACACGCAAACAAAACTGTACAATTGTATAACTAAATGATCATCAATTTGTACATTCAATATCCTATCCAGCTGTATCACGCCACATTTAGATTATTCCCACATCATTGGCTAAGATTTTCAGTATTACTATCACGCCACACTTGCGCAGTCCAATCACAAGGGTAGCATGTATCACGAGTTCATTTTTTATCCAACGCGAAACAATCTCAGGAATCTTAAGACTATGTAATCACTAGATCGCGCGGCTTTTTCAACCTTAAATGTACAATTATCTGCGCGCGGCTTTCTCCCCTTTCGAAATTTAAAATTTTATTGGCAAACGTTCATGTTCCGTTTTACACGTCAGCAACCCATAACTTTAAAGTTTAAAAGCATTTATAGCACAATACCAGATCATTATTTGAATAACACACTTTTCGCTATCATCACCTGGGGACCCAAGGCTATTATGTTCATAAACATAAAGATTCGGCGGAATGACAGACTGAGCACCGCCCAGTATCGCTATCCCAGTTACTCACTAATGTTCAATTAATTATTTCAAACCTTGCCTCACCACGACTTAATTTTACTTTGGCGGACCTCAGGCTATTACATATTTAATATTATGTTCATAAATATATAAAATAGAGATTCGACGGAATGACAGCAGACAGGCTTAGCGCGGCCTAATAAAACTTACTTGTTACTAGTTGATTGCACTTAAATTACAACAATTAATATAATTTTTAATTCCAATTTACTGCGCAGTGCAACCCAGTAGTTCAACATATTACATATTACAAACAATTTTGTCAACAAATCTGCCGCGTCGACAATTAGAATTTGTTGATATATTGAGTAAGTATTATTTAATATAGTTTAACCATTTCTATTATATAGGAAATATATATGTATATAGGAGATATCGCGGATCGGGAAATTGAGCGGTCGCCCACAAAAGAAATGCGGCCGCATTTCTTGTTGTTTAACTGATATAAAGAAATACGGTCGGTGATCCAGTATTGAGCATATGTGCAACTGTGTGAGTTCATTATTCTAATTGCCCCCTTCGAGCAGCTAAGGTGCATCTCACTTGCAGTCATGTGACCGAGATCACGTGATAACACCTTTAACTAACTTATAGCCCTGAGGATCAATTGGTACAATGTGTATTGAGGTAAATTGGTCGGGGTATGTTTTATTATATATAATATCAGTATTTACACTGAAACATTCAATAGCTCTCCTTAGCTGTTGGAACAGTGAAAGACCAAAATATTAGATGTTAACCCTGAGCAAATTGTAGCTTGTAGTTGTACATTTAATATAATCAATAATACTACATACTACCTTGTCGGACTTTATTTAAACGGACTTTAGTTCATAGTTGGATGCTAGAAGCCCAAGTTTACAATTTACCGCAGAAATTTAGCTCGTACCGTTTTAAAACCAGATCTCGGAGAAGAGTTCACCTTAGATTATTTTAAACCTAATTCTCGGGCAGACGTTTTACAATCTCCGAACAGTGTGACTATAATTATATTATATACAATCTCCGAACAGTGTGACTGTATTATGTACAATATCCGAACAGTGTGACTGTATTATGTACAATATCCGAACAG